GCTCCGACACTGGTTTTGGCCTGAGCCACCTTGAGGGTCGGTCTTACCTGAAGCACTAGAGTTTGGAGAGCCAAGTAGAGTCGGTCCTCAATCACGTCAGCAACTAAAACCTGTTGAACATCCAGAACTCCTTGCCTAGGGGCACAGGACACCAAATGGGGAGTGGCCGCGAGACTGACGCTATGACGAGGCAAAGTCAATGATGGTGAGCGGCGAGGCTGAGGTGACTCTAGTGGCGAATCCATAGCCCCCTGAGTGGGGCGCGGAGGCGATCGTCTGCGACTCTGAGTCTGCAAGCTAGGACAACGTCTGCTGCCCACAGGTGCAAACGTAGGTGACCACTGCCTTGGCCACAACCTCCAACTGGTTGGCCACCGGAGATGAAGCCAGGTGGTCAAGTGGAGGGCGCGTGTCGATCCAGCTGGCAGCGATCGAGGCTGTGAACTCCTTGAGCATCTGGTCAACCGTGGCGTCGCGACCAGGGAGCACGTCGTGAGGCCACACATACAGTGTCAATGGGTTAACCCTAGGAAGGCACGTCCCGCTGGCTGGCACGTTGAGGTCGGCTGCAACGTCTGTGGAGGGGTTGTTGGGGCCTTCCTCTGGCCGTCTTAGGCGCCTAAGACTTTAGTTCCAATTGCATACTACAATATATATTCAGTTTAATCCTACATCAGAAACTACTGGTGGAGTAAACACAATATATAAGGTAGGAGAATCCCCATCTATCATGCTACCATGTTGGTGTTTGAATTTGACCTGATACCTTGATTAGTTTTGGGCTTCGATAGGCCTGGGTCTGTTGTGATGATGGCGCATAGTATAGCGAACTGGGCTGGAGCTGCTCTACATCCTAACAATATAGTCCAAAAGTTAAAGATTATTACGCGTGACCGCTCTTCAACCCATATTACCACAGCTTAAATAACCAGTATATTCAACTAGCATTCTAGCAATGGTTAACTGATAGGATCATCCACACTTGTAAGTTGTAACTAGTAGGAATGAAGGGCCTTTTTTCAATATTTTAACTCTAACATTTCAGTAGAGGAAAAGGCTAACAACATATGAGTCTACAAGTGAATTATTGTTTTAAATAGCAAAAACTCATCACTATTCATGATGGCAATTGCATTAAATCCACAACCTACAATCACGTGCCGAATGTGAGATCCTCCCGGCTAAATGCCCAAAAAGGAATATCATATGCTTCAACTATCAAATAAGAGGTTAACCATTACCCTACCCGCTAATGTCACAAGTACTGCCTACACGAACACAAAATCTCGATTGAAACAGAGAAAACAGGGGACAGGGGGCATTTAGTGTAGATGTAGACGGACCTAGACAGTGAAGTACATAGCAAAAACTGCAGCTACGAATTAATCACAGAAAAGTATAGATCTAAAGATAGAGCAAAAAAATTTATACTAAAGCATAACATATCATATATTTACTGTGTAGATCTACTCACGTGGGGTCGAACAAAATTGAATTTTTCCATTTTGTGATTTTTCTGTAATATACTATAATTTTTTAGAGATTCAGCCAAAATAAATATAAAAGAAAAAAGAAAGAAAACCCACCTAGAGAAACAGTCAGGGTCAAGGAAGTCATATGTCCGGTTTGAAAAGACGGGATGAGTTGTCCGGTTTTATAGTTCATGAGAAAAAGCTGACTTTTGCGATAGTTGAGGGAGGCGAAGTAGACTTTTTGCTTGTTGCTATAGCCTACACCCTACAGTGACCCTTTTGGTCCGTGGTGGAGATATTGAAAACAATGGAAATTAATCGCAAGAGTTGATTTGATTGTGCTTATATATAGATAGATGAAAACTTGCAACATTGTACGACTGCCGTACAAACGCACTATGCCCCCAACGACATCATCCCACTCCACCATTAGGAGCTGTTTGGAAGGCATGTTTTAAGACTAAAACCCCTATAAATTACAGACCCTAAATATTGGCAATCTTTGAAATTTTGTTTGGATGAATGGTTAGCACACAAATTTTACAACCAGTTTGGCCTAATACCGTTTGGAAGAAATAATCACCTGAGGAGGTCTGTAAAATAAAACGACAATTGTCGAGGGCCTCCTCGTCCGCGCGGTCGTCGACGAGACCTTAGCGGCGGTGGTGCTCATGGCGATCACACCGGTGCTATTGCAGAGCTCATCAGCCACCCCTCGCCGCGTCGTGGCCATTCTGGCCTTGATCCGAAGCTTCACATCACAACTGTCCCAAACTCCACCAACCCCGCCCTCGCACATCTCAATCTCCCTCGTGGCCGTTCCTGTCGTCCTTGGATCCTCAATTCTCGATCCATGGCACCACCCTCGTCCACAACTTCCTCTGATGTCGTCGTCCTTGGATCCTCGATCCATGCAGCCATGAAGGCAATCGAAAAGTTGGGGACCCCCTCATGATCTCTTCACGGACACAGCCTCCTCTCGTAATCTGAAATTTCTTCAGGTTTTGTATCTGACTTTCAAGCTCTAAATACTTGGTACATATAAAATTCAGACAGCTTCAAAATCAAATCAAATATGAGATGATTTGTGGATCAAATCAGGCACAAGGTAAGCAGCGTTGCAAAAAATCGTTTCAGAGTTGGAGACTTGGGGTGGGTGTTCGGTTGCTGAGAAGTGAAAATCTCTCTCTGACATGCTGTGCTGAAACTTTTGAAGTAGCCACAACCTGAGAGATGCTTCCATGAGTATCAGAGTACAGGGGAAAAGGTTTGCAGAGGCTTTTTCTTGTGCACAAGAAATTACAGGTAGAAGCTAATCACAGGTGTAATGACTTTGCAATTCTTCCAAACAGGCCCTTATATTCAAACAAATACCAGTCTCATGATGGATTCGGTAATATGTTTATTAGGGTCAACCAAACGATCATCTTGACAATTTCATGAACACTCAACTTAAAGCCCTAGTTTGGTTTTAGTGAATTGATGAAATCCTAAGTGCTAACCTAGTTTATCAAGTGATTATAAGATAGGTAGCACATTCCAAGTGGTGAACCAAATGAAGATCATGACATGATGATGGTGATGCCACGGTGATGATCAAGTGCTTGGACTTAAAAAGAAGAAAGAGAAAAACAAAAGGCTCAAGGTAAAGGTATAAATAGTAGGAGTCATTTTGTTTTGGTGATCGAGACACTTAGCGAGTGTGATCACATTTAGGATCGATAGCCGTACTATTAAGAGGGGTGAAACTCGTATCGAAATACGGTTATCAAAGTGCCACTACATGCTCTAACTCATTGCATATGCATTTAGGATCTAGTGGAGTGCTAACACCCTTGAAAATATTTGTGAAAATATACTAACACATATGCACAAGGTGATACACTTGGTGGTTGGCACATTTGAGCAAGGGTTAGGAACCTCACTGGCACCCTATACAGAAAAGACGGAGGTCACTGTAAGTGACCGGACGCTGGTCTCTGTAGGACCGGTGCGTCCGGTCAGTAGTAATGCGAAATCTCTAGCGTCGGTCTCTGACCGGACGCTGGGTCACTTAGTGACCGGACGCTGGAAGGTTGCGTCCGGTCCTGCTGACATGGCAGCGCACAGGGGAGTCACCGTGTGACCGGACGCTGGGTGTGTCCGGTCGAGCATGACCGGACGCGTCTGGTCGTAAAAAGTCGTCTTTGGATGCTTACTGGAAACGACCGGACGCTGGGGTTCAGCGTTCGGTCACTTTAAGCTGCTGCGTCCGGTCATCACTTGACTGTTGAGATCGGGCGATCGACATTTGAAGAGAGGGGACACGTGGCACGCATCGCGTGACCGGGCGCTGAGATCCAACGTCCGGTCAATATGACCGGAGCGTCTGGTCACCCCGCGTTGTGCCCAGTGAAGGGGTACAACGGCTCTATTTCGTGAGGGCTTCTATTTAAGCCCCATGGCCGGCTCAAGCTCACTCTCTTGGCCATTTGCATTAACATAGCAACCTTGTGAGCTTAGCTAAAGCCCTCCCACTCATCTCCATCATTGATTCATTATCTTTGTGAGATTGGGAGAGAATTCAAGTGCATTGTTTGAGTGTTTGCATTTAGAGGCACTTGGTGTTCGTGTTTCGCTGCAGGATTCGCTTGTTACTCTTGGTGGTTGCCGCTACCTAGACGGCTTGGAGCAGCGAGGATCGTCGAGCGGAGGTTGGTGATTGTCTCCGGCTCCAATCATGGTGATTGTGAGGGGTTCTTGACCTTTCTCCGGCGGAGAGCCAAAAGGTACTTTAGTGGATTGCTCGTTGCTTGTGTGATCCTCATCTTATGTTGGTTGTGCGGCACCCTATAGAGGGTTTGGTGTGTGATGCCAATTAGCGCGTGAACCTCCAAGTGAGTGAATCGTCACAACGAGGACTAGCTTGCCGGCAAGCAAGTGAACCTCAGTAAAAAATCATTGTGTCATCATTTGATTCCGAGGTGATTGGTCTTCATTGTTATTCATTCTTGTGATTGATTGGCTCCTTCCTCGACATGGCGGTATAATCTTCTTGCTCACTCTCTTTACATTACCGCAAACTAGTTGTCAAGCTCTTTAGTGTAGCTAGTTGTGAGAGCTTGTTAGTTTGGTTAGTGTGGCTTTTTAGTTAGCTTTTGAGAGCACACTAACTTAGTGTAGTGACATAGCTATTGTGTGGATAGAAACTATATAAACTAGAATTATGGTAGATGACTTGCATTTTTAGTAGGCTAACGCAACACTTGTTTCGCCTCATAATTATCTAATCGGTTTGTTAAGTGTTGTTGTAGAAATTTTTATTAGGCTATTCACCCCCTCTAGCTATTAGGACCTTTCCCAATGGTGAGGGAGACCGTTGCCGTAAAATATAATAATAATGACACAAAATAATATCTTGGTCTCATACAAACTATATAGTGCCAAAAAGATATGACAAAAAGAACATATGCAGAAGCTAAGCGCAAGGTGGTTTCTAATGGTAAATTCTGACAGATACTTGTGGCCTTGAGCAAGTTTATGATCAGCTTAGAACAGAGAAGTTCCCTTGCCCTTCTTGTCGCCACCGATCTCAAAGTGCTTGCACCTCTGAAGTTAGATGACAAAGTTAGCTTCACATACTTGGACAGAATAAAATACAGACGATGACACAAAATAACAAAGCATGGTGGTAAGGACCTTGATCGCGTGTTGAGAGTAGTGCTTGCAGCTCTGGCACTGCAGCTTCAGCACAATCTTCTTTGTTGTTTTTGCCTGAAATAGACCGAAGAGTTAATGTTCGGAAGCAAGTAAAAAGGAGCCACATTAAGAACTCCAAAAGCAGCCTTCAATATGTAACTGGTAATGCAAACAGTAGGGAATTTGTGTTGAACCTTCTTGTGGAAAACAAGTTTTGTCTGACCGCCATATCCAGACTGTTTGCGGTCATAACGACGCTTCCCTTGGGCTGAAAGGCTATCCTTACCTTTCTTGTACTGGGTAACCTTGTGCAGGGTGTCTTCCTGCACTCCTTGTTCTTACAGTAGGTCTCCTTGGTTTTTGGAACGTTCACCTACAAAATATGTACAGTATAATTAATCCACAAAGAATCGGTATAAAAATAAATTCACAGAAGTCATGCTATTTTTTTTGCGAATAAGAAGTCATGCTAATTAAAGTAATATATGAACAAATTTAACAGTCCCTAAAATTATAATAATTCATCATGAGCTAATTTGAAATGAAACATCATAGGAAGCCCAAACGAAGAATGACTAGCACTAAGTTGCACAAAAAGGTAGACTCATAGTGGAACAGAAACAAAGGAGACCAAAAGGAGATATATAGAATGCAGCTTTGTGAAAAATAATTCGCATCTTATAAATTCAATAACAGTTGTCACATAAGATTGGCGTAAGCAAAGTGAACTGACTCTTGCTAATTTGACAAATACCATATAACTTACAATTCATGAACAAGGAACAAAAAAAACTTGAAGTTACCAACACACCCAGACAGAAAAAGAACTTTAGTGCCGCTAAGGGCCTGTTTGGTTGCCCGCATGGGGTTGAACCAGGCCCGTGGGGTGCAAGGAGCACATGTTTGGTTGCTCGCACGGCCTCTTGAGCCAGGCTCCAGGTGTGCGAGCAAATCAGCCATCTCCACCGAGCTAGGCTTGCCGCATGCAGGCAGGAGCGCATGAGCAATGGAAAAGCATAAGGCACAGACGCAGAGTCAGGCAACCAAACAGCCGCACTTCCCAGCCAGCATGCAAACGTACACAAACCAATCACCGTGTCTTTGCATGCAGCGATCATAGTCGCCATGGTACTGATCAGCTTGACTAATCACGATTGATCACGTCTAATCTCAACTAATCACGATTAATCATGACTACTCGTGACTACTCGTAGTGCATAGCTGATCGCCATGGCACCGATCAGCCTGACTAATTGTGACTAATCATGATTAGTCAGTTGGCTTGATAACATTGGTCAATTCCTTCTCACAAGCACCCAAAAAATATCTGTAAGGTTAGCATGTAGTCATGGAACAAAATCAACTCATGGCAGGATGAGATCTTTGTAGAGTCTTCTACTTTATGTCAGATGAGGAGTTCTCTGCATGCTAGTTAGAAGCTTGAATTAATACCCAAGACATTTTGTTGTTAATAGGATAGATAATGATCCTCGGAGTGAGAGACAGAAGATGTGATTTAACATTGGTATGAACACATTGCACAGCATTGCACGAGTTCAAAAATCAAATTATGCCTCAGACAAACAATCTATAAATAAAAATGTGACAACTCGTAAACAATACATAGTTAATACTCATTTTTTACCTTCTAACAACAATTTTTTGTTCTAGTGGTTACACTACTAGTCGGTTCCTTTGTCTCTTTATACTCAATTAGCACAAACTGAATCAGTCAAACAACACAGGTTTTGTTCCCATTACGAAATTAAGGTACAAAGGTTGACAAGCATCTGTAGCTAACTTGCAAAACAGTTTCCAGGTTACTCATCAGTATCATTATACGTAGTCATTCATCAAGAAACTACAACTAATTGCAGTGAGACAGACAAATTGGTGTGCATCAATTGGCTCAAGCTTTATTCAAAACACTCCAGGTCGTGAACCCTCTATTAAATAGATTACCACAAGTCTATAAACATTTCCCTTGATATAGAAACCCCTATTTATACCCATGCATGCACACGATCAGCAGATCAGCAAATATAATTATCTATTGTAAGACACGAACTGGACAGAATAACTGCTTGCAGTCTGGTTAATCCTAAACGCCTTTTTAAACTAACAGTGCACACTAAAACAGATGGAAATATGTACACGTTTATAGTCCAAACAACACAAAATTCACAATATACGACAGCGCGAGAAACCTGCTAAACTAAAATAGCACTGAGCGGAGACCACCGATCAAACCAAACCCTAGTTAGCCTATTTAGTTTCAGGCCAAATTCCAAAAAAGTACTACAGTACCCTATCACATCGAATCTTACGATATGTGCATGGAGCATTAAATGTAGACGAAAAAAAAACTAATTGCACAGTTTGGTTGGAAATCGCGAGACGAACGTTTTGAGTTTAATTAGACCATGATTGAACATTAATTACCAAATAAAAACGAAAGTGCTACAATAGCCCCAAATTCCAAAATTCACCCAACTAAACATGCCGTTACATCACTGGAGCCGCACCAAAGGCCTCGCTTACAAAACTGCTCTCCATCTCGAGCTGGCACCAGAATCAGACCCAAAAAATAGGAAGGAATCGCGACAGGGAGTATCCAGGGCCATGTACCACAAGCACAGACAGAACAGGACGAAACTACTGCGTCCTGAGATCCTAAGCCTTCGGGCGTAGGAGGAGGAGAGGTGGGGGTCGCTGAGCATGGCTGCCGCGTAGTGGCTTCCTCCGTGGCTCCGTCCGTGCGAGAGTCCTTGCGGCGGCGTGAGGTGGGATCCCTGAAAACCAGGCGATTTATAAAAATAGGACTCGAAGCATTAGTCGTTTACAGATTTGACACTGGACTCATATTTATAGACATAGATAGACCCCTTTATCATCCACCCGAGTGTCATCATAATCAAGTAGTTAATCTTTCGAGTGTCATTTTTGCAATTTTTTCTAGAAAACCCTAGCGCCGGAGCGATATATCAGAAGAGAGCCGGGCCTGCTGCGCTTTAGCGAGCTCATGGGCCTGTTCCCTGGTCTAATATTCGGCCTGTCATGTAGATTTGCAGCCTTTTTATCACTCAGGCCTATGAGGAATAGGCGCACCATCCATTTCTTCTAGTAAAAAAAAGTTCAAATTACCTCTCTCAACTTTTGCGAAACTCTGTTTTTTTGCTCCCTAAACTGTAAAAACGGGTAAATCACCCCTGAACTTTTTAAATCATTCGTTTTACCTCCCTGACCGGTTATAAGCGGTTTTCAAAGGTGTTTTTGTTTTTTTTTTTTTTTATTTATTTTGGCTGAATCTTTGAAAAATTATAGTAAATAAAAAAATCATAAAATAGAAAATTCAATTATGTTGGAATTCACATGAGTAGATCCACACAGTGAACATATAAATGATATGTTTTAGTATAAATTTTTTGTCGTAGCTTTAGATCTATACTTTTATATGTTCACTGTGTGGATCTACTCATGTGGAGTCTAATACAATTGGATTTTTCATTTTATGATTTTTTGTGATTTACTATGATTTTTCAAAGATCCAGCTGAAATAAATAAAAAATAAAAAAGACAAAACCACCTTTTAAAACCCCTTATAACCGGTTAAGGAGGTAAAATGAATGATTTTAAAAGTTTAGTGAGGTGATTTACTCGGTTTTAGAGTTCAGGGAGAAACAACATACTTTCACAAAAGTTGAGGAAAATAATGTGGATTTTTTCCTTTCTTCTATGGGAAACTCCAATCCAAGAGACCAAGACAGATTTGATCTTATAATCTTACTATATAATAACATACCACTCTGTTACAAAATATAGTTCACTTTTATTTTATTTTAATAAGTCAGACTTATTTAAGTTTGTAAAACTCTACCAACATCTAACATATTAATTTTGTTTCATCAGATTTTATACAACATATTTTGATAGAGAATTTATTTCAGTTTACAGATATCAATATATATTTCTTAAAATTTAATTAAAGTTTAAAAATTTAACTTATAATAAAGTCAAGACAAACTATAATTTGGAACGTAAAGAATAATGACTTCATGTCCACTTTGAATGTGTGTTTTCTAGTATTGGCATTATCAATAATGTTGAGGCTTGATTTTGTTCTTAAACTTTGCAAATAGCTAGTTTAGTCCTCAAATTTTACTTGAAGGTTTAGTTTCATTCACTAGTACAAACAATCCGTCATAGTCGGTTTGTAACCCCCCATCACCGTCGTTTTGGCCCTCGGTGGTGAAACGTCGATGGTGATGGGCATGGTAACACTGACAGTTTGGAGTGTAATCCGACGGGGACAATGGTACGATCACAGCTGGGTCGCAGTAAGATCCGACGATGATGGTCATTTAGTTTGTGTCGGTTTACAAAATAATCCAGCTGCGATGATGTGAAATCGCTGCCAGTGGAGACATCAACACCGACGGTGTTGACGGTTGCTTCACCACTGGTCAGTGGTTCAATATGGTGGTGACTACCATTTGATCACCCCCAGTCAGTGGTCCAATGCGGCGGTGATGAGCAATTGATCACAGGTGGTTCAATGCATACGCGTTGGTGATCATAACTATATCACTATAGGTAGTTTGAGTCGGCGTTGATGACCTTCATTGGCTGAATGCTATTCCATCAGGATTTTCACAATATATTTATTAATTTACACGGTGAAAAGATTTAGATGGTTAGAGGAGGGGTGAATAGCCTATAAAAATTTCTCTACAAAGTCACATATACTAGAGCAAAGGTTGATTAGTACAAAATGAAGCCCTGTTAGCAACTATTTGCTCTAGCTCTATTTCATCCAAAGCAAGCCCCTACACAATACTAGTCACTTGGTTTCTAGTCTATGTTATACAAGCAAACAAGCTATCAAATAAGCGAGAGAGCTACAACTCTTCCTCCATGAAACAAACGGACCAAACTATCCATCTACAAAAGCATTTGAGCAAACTACATCAAATTTTCGAAATGATTCTAAGGAATTATAACCTAAACTAACTAAATATAACCTAAACCACCTAACCAAATATAACCTAAAAACCCCTAGTAACTACATAAATCCTAAAAAAAATCACCTAAATATAACATAAACAGTTAACCTACCTACACATACACATATAATCTAAACTACGTATAACCTAAACATAGTTAATAAATATAACCTACACCTAAAAATACTAACTAAAATTTCTGATAATCATGAAAACCTAAAAATACAACACATGCAACTAGATGTGCACGTACAAATCAAGGACAGACCCTTAACACAAGTTTCTAAACCTAATTGATCAACCTAAATTACTTTACATTTCAACTCAAATCAAATTTTACTTCAAATCTTAACTAACAAGATTATTATTTGGGGGGCGACCTCCACTAGGCCACCGATGGCGGAGATGGCCGATAGCGGGCGACAGCGGACGGAGCAGGCGGCCGGGCATGTGGGGCTGGAGGTGGAAGATGCGCAGGGGATAAGAACGGGAGCCCTCGTGGTCTCTGTATGCCACCCTGCTATGCTAGTCGGGTGGCGGCGTGGCAGGGCCGTGCCAAACTCTGTGGCGTGGTAGGCTGGCTAGGTCACAAGTCAGCGGGCCAAGTGGCAGCCTTGTCATGTTGCCGTCGTTTGCCGTGGCAGAGCAGTTTGGCTAAGCTACGAGTTGGTTTACAAAATAGTTTTCTGGTGAGGTTATTAAAAAAAATTCTTTTTTAAGATAAAAGGATTAACACCCCCCCGCCCGGCTCGGCCTTCTGCCCTTCTCCGCTCGTCCCTCTCTCTTTTCTCCGCACCAAAGCGCCGCCGCGGGCGATTCTAGGGTTTCGTCGCCGGCGGCAGCAACCCTGCCGGTAGCGCTCCGACGTCGGCATCCCTGTTCCTCTCCCCCGGAGTCCAGTCTCCTCGCCATCTCGTCGGTGTAGCCGGGGTGCCGATCGACGCCCCTGCAGATCCGGCCACGACGACGGCCTGCAGATCCGCAACGACGACAGCCTGCATATCCAGTCCACCTCCGACGACCTCGACCGACCTGCAACTTGTGGACACCTGCAGATACAGCCCGTGTTGAAGGTTTGCTTTTTTTGTCCTCACGCCTCCTTCTAGCCCCCCTCATTTAGGTTCAGCGATGATGAATTTAATGCCTTTGAGAATGTTGATTTGTAGTTGGGTTTAGGTGATATACCAGAATTTGATACTTTGGGGGGTTTTAGACTCTCAATCAATTTTACTAATTCAGGCATGCTGCCAACCTTAGATATTTACTCAGTTTACATGTATTTATCTTTTGGTCATGCCCAACTTGAAATCGAAGTCTCAAGATATGTTTACTATCAATCAAATTGTTATATTTACTTCTCTGACAGATCAACTTTTCCTGAGATACATTTTAGTTTTCTGTGGATCATTAGCACTAGGCTAAATCCCCTTAGTCCTTATCTTGTGTGTGTATGAAGAAATAATAAGCCCATAGACATCTTAATTATAACCTTTGTGTTTGGCCCAGCTAGGGATGAACTCATGAAAGTAGAAGTGGATAATATCATTTACCAGGGCTTGTTTTCGATGTTTTCTTGCGTTTTTGGGAAAACTTAAACAGAAATCAACAGGGCTTGTTTTCAAAGTTTTATCGTGCTTTTGTGAAAAATGGAAACCATGAATATAGAGATGATAATGGTTTCTACCATTTAATGAGCTATCGTCTTGGGCCAGAAACTCTTGACGGTATTGTTACTGTTTTTGCTTACCCCACACTCCCATAGGCTTTGCTATTTTAACCTGTCATTTATGTACGGTTTACATGTGTGTGTTATCATTCCTATGTATATTATTGTGTAGCTGTTTTTTACTATAATACTATGCATTATCGATTGCCGGCTGTCATCGACATGCCGTAATACTGGTGCTGGACCCACTTTCTTCAGTATCATTTTTGTTTTCGTTTGTGGAAAAGTATGGAAGGGCGGGCCTGGTGCAAGCGGTAGAGTCTTACCACCTGTGACCGGAAGGTCCCGGGGTCAAGTCGCGGTCTCCTCGCATTGCACAGGCGAGGGTAAGGCTTGCCACTGACACCCTTCCCCAGACCCCGCACAGAGCGGGAGCTCTCTGCACTGGGTATGCCCTTTGTGGAAAAGTATGGAAGCAGAAACAATTTAGGCCTCTTCTGACCGTTTGATCCCCACCCTGCCATAGACTTTCATATGTTTATGTCAGAGTAGACATATGTATTACTATTATACATTAATCATGTAAAAAACTATTACAATGTCTCATAAGTTCTGTTATGTGTAAGGTTGTTCTTGTTGTAGTGATGCTAACATACGTCTGGATTCACAAAATACTAGCATTTTATATAGCCTCATTTTGAAATAAGTAATTTCATTGGAATTCTTGACTATTTCGTTTCTTTCGAACAAAAGTATTTCATTCCAGACGGGCCTAAGTATTATATAGCTAATAATTTCATGCCAGAAGTCATCAATTGAAATATTAACAATTTTCTCAAACTTTAAATTATTATTGGTGGCCATATTGGGGGTTCCTTCTGGTTAGGTGCTTAACTCTATCATGCCATGTATTTCTTTACAGGCTACACAGAAAAATCAGCACCCAAAAGTTGTAAAGATCACCAAGAACCTTGCAGGATAACACAAGTGCTGAGTTTTGGAAATGGATCATGGGCGTTATGCTCCACAACATGGATGGGAGAACAACAGTGTAATTGCAGTCTTTTCCTTTACTAACTACTGAAGATGATGATATAGCAGAATTTTGGCCATGCAGTTGGCCTCTGTGTATCCAGCGTTAGTTGTAAAGGAGTTCAAGAAGAGGCCGTTGCTTAAATGGAATGGATTTACCTGCCTGTTCTGTAGAATTTGTTGCTGACTCGACTTATTGTGTTGAATCCACAGGCACCGAATGGGTATGGTGTAATCAATGAGCCAGATTTTAGGTAAGTCAACTAGTCATTCTAGTGTTGTGTTAACTGGGGTATTCATGTCCTTTATTCCTGTAAAACGTGTCGAATCTTTTTTTTCTTCTAATTTCTCTAGTAAGCCGAGATATGTTTTTATTTGGTACTGGGTTAACTCTTCAACAAGTTCTCCCCTTTTGTGATTTGTGTCATGCCTTTAATATTTATATATAGTGCTTAGCCATATTACCATATCATCCCCTATTAACTTAATTTGCAGGTCTGGTGGATCCTACAATGGTAGGAGATCTGTGGATGAAGGCTTTCCTAGAGATTCATATGGGAGGGGTGCATTCTGTCAGGATACACATGATAGAAATATGTATGCACCACCACCCTCTGTTGGTGGAATGTGGTCTCAGCCTCGAAGGAACCATGATGAGGAATGCGCAACTGCAAGAGATCACAGAAGGCATGATGCTGATTATCGCAATGATGGAGAGCATCATGAGTTTGATTCATACAGAGGAGTTGATAGACTCCGTGATAATTATCATGCTACTGACAACTATTATGAATCTGGTAGTTACCGTGATTTTGGTGTTGATAGGAGCAAAAGGATTGGAAGCAGAGAACGTGCGGAGTTTCATGGTGAGTTTGAAGACCGGTACCGCAGTTCTCACCAAAGCAGGGAGGACAGCTATGAGAGAGATCATGAATATGGTCGTTACGGTTATGATTCGGACTATGAGAGAGGCAGGAGAGATAGTAGCTGGAGAAGACGTGATTCATGTGAGAGTGAACGTGAAATAAGTGGATTAAGTCGTGAAAGAGAGGAAAGTCCATACATGCGCCATAGCCGTTCTCGATCACATGGGCGTGATGACCGATCAAGATCACGGTCTAGATCAAGATCTCCTCGTGCGAGAAGTCATGGTCGGAACCAAAGAGATGGCCTGTATGATGATAATCGATTTGACAGAAGAAGGGAATATGACTGGGATGATAGGAGGCATGGTGATTCAGTGGTATGGACATACTGCATACATACATACATTTGTGGCAGCGGGTTTGGAATTTACAAATCATGGGTTTGCATTCATGTTTGCAGGTCCCATCTGCCACTGTTGTTGTCAAGGGACTGTCCCTGAAGACTAATGATGATGACCTATATCAGATTCTTGTACAAGTTCCTCTTAATAACTTGTTGCACCAGTTGAAAGTGTACTGTCTGGTTTGCTTTAATCATTTCGTCTGTTCTCTTGTAGGCTCAGTGGGGGCCTCTACGCAGTGTGCGTGTGATCAAGGAACGGAATTCTGGCATGTCTCGTGGATTTGCTTTTATTGACTTCCCCACTGTGGTATTAATCAAACAAGTGTTATTACATTACTCACCCAAACTTTCATGTACTGTTAACAAAGCTGTATCCTCTCCACAGGAAGCTGCCCGTAGAATGATGAAAGCTACTGGGGAGAATGGTCTCGAAATTGATGGCAGGAATGTGTTCTTTCAGTACAGGTATACATGTTTTTCTATTTAGAAATCAGTATGTTTCACTGCCATCCTATACAAAGTCCTCCATCCTATGCAATATCTGCTAGCGTGCTGGTGAATAAATGAGTATGCAGTGCATGGTTGCACATTTTTTTTGGTTAAATTAGTGTCTTGAGGAGTTGTATACTTGTATTATGCTTTTGGAATTGTTGTCCTTTTTTGTAATTTGTAACTATACTTTTTACTTGAGGTTGCCTTTTAGCTATGAAGTTCTCATGTCTCTCGGCCGTATATTCTGTAACTGGCATGGGTAATTATAAGCTAGTTGTATTGGCCATGCTTGTTTCTGCCTATAATCTGATTCTCGATTATTTCTGCCTTTTTCTGAACTAACACAATCGAGAATCGAAAAAATCCCCACGGTACAGCGATTATGATCGAGTCTGCTGTAAGCGGAAACAAGCTGGGCCATTAGCAATCCAACAATTCTCATAGTAGGATTGCATATAACCAAACAGGATACTCTATTTTTCTCTTTCCTCTTCGTCCAAATTATAGGCCATTTGAGCTTTGTCCTAAATCAAACTTATCTGACTTTGACCAAGTTTATAGAAAAATACACCAACATGTACAGCATCAATTTAGTTTCACTGAAATCTCCATGAAATAGGTCTTGATATTGCATTTATTTGAACCTGTAGATGTTATTATATTTTTCTAAAAACTTGGTCAAATTTAGAGAAGATTGACTTAGGATAAAGGTAAAGTGACATATAGATTGGAATGGAGGTGTAGTAGTTATTTTGATGACCTAAGATCACATGGGATTGCATTGACACTAATTCAATTAGAGTTCATTAATAAAAAGATTAATCAGTTCTGTAAGATTTCAGTGGGGAAAAGTGGTGTTACTTCATTATGCTGCCATGGGAAGGTGCTTGTGATCCTTATACGTCAACAAGGTTCTGTTAGTGGGTGGGTTGGGTGGGTGTGGGGCGAGTCTTGTCTTCCTTTTATTGTTGTACTAGCCTTTTGTGCTCATGTGTTTATATAAAAATTCCATCCAGTGCAATTAATTCTAACACTGTCTTTACTGCAGTAGTAAACCAACCGGTGGGATGGTTGGGCCTTCTCTTGGACAAGAAAATTTTACAAGGCCTACTTATGGGCACAGGACTGCTGCTGCACCGTGTGACTGGATTTGTACTATATGCGGATGTATGAATTTTGCCCGCAGGACCTCCTGTTTTCAGGTACTTGTAAGGATGTTATGTTACATATCACATTTCCATCGCCCCCTGCCCCACCCACACACCCCACCTGAACACCAGATTCTGTACAATTCCTCATCGCATCTGCCACTTTCCTGAGTCCTGACCATTGTGGCCTGTAGTTTAACTGGTGAGTGGGTTAGTGGAGGGCAGGGTGATGTGTTGGATTTCGTCTACTTGTTAGTTTGTTCTACTTAAAGAACACTGCCATAGTGTTGTGTAATTCTCTATTTTTCTATATGTGCATGAAAATACTACCACTCTACTTTGCGTAATTTTTCCTAAGTTAATAGCTGGGTAACTAATTAGTTTTGTGATTTTGCTCTGGCTAATCATATGTTTATTTGTATTTGCATAGTGCAATGAACCTCGTACTGAGGATGCTCTACCAGCTGATGCGACAGGTTCCACTCCACACTTTGGGAGAAGGGGATCTGAACTAGGCAAGTTTTGTGCTTTCATAGTTTCATTCTGGAATCATGTGAAGTATGTATCGTGCTGTCTTATTTAGTTGCGGTCATTTGCAGGTCCAACTCATGTTTTAGTTGTTCGTGGTTTGGATGAAAATGCTGATGAGGAAATGCTTCGGTACGAATTTGCTAAGCACGCACCAATAAAGGTGGGGAATAAACTAATTGCTTGATTAGGTTTCTCTTATTTTTCTGGAAACATTACATGTCATTTCTCACCAGGACATCCGCCTTGTTCGGGATAAGTTTACTCATGTGTCTAGAGGTTTTGCCTTCGTTCATTTCCATTCGGTAAGTAGTGTTGTCTGGTGGATTGAGTTGAGCTTTTCTTTTCTTGATGTATATAGTTCCTGACAATTTTCAACATCCTGTTGTGACAGGTGGAAGATGCTACGAAAGCTCTGGAAGCTACAAATGGGATTACACTTGAGAAAAACGGTCAGGTTTTGCGTGTAGCATATGCTAAAAGTACACATGGACCTGCATCAGGCGGTTCGCAGTCAAACAGCCTTGCCGCAGCTGCCATTGAGGCTGCATCATTTGCTCAGCAGGTTTGTTATAGCTCCTGACACTGTAAGATTAAGCATTTACCGTTTCTATTTATATAGGATATCCATTTATATATTACTTCCTTTGTTCTTTCTTACAGTATTTGGTTCTTTGCAAGCTAAGCTGTCAAATTTTAGAGACTTACAATTCTGAAAGCATGGAGATTGGGCATATGAAAAATATCACTAGATTTGTTTCTAAAAGCACTTAATTGTCATTAGTTACTAATGGAAAGTACTAAAAAAAAATCAGAACCACATTTAAAAAATGCTAAGATGTCAAATAAGCAGAATGAAAAAGGACGGGACTGACCTTCATCACATTCTCATGTTAACTAAGCACATAGCTTAGGCAGGTTGTAGACATGTTGCTCATTGGTTTAATACCTTTGCCTGTTGGACCAGTATGATGCCATAGGTTGGGCTCCAAAAGAGTACAATCCTGATGACAAACAGAACAGCAACTCTGAATCTCAAAAAGATGGTGGTACAACACAGTCGGGATTTGTTTGGGATGAAAAATCTGGTTACTACTATGATTCTGCATCTGGATTCTATTATGATGGAACTACTGGTAAGTATGAGTCTACTGCATCAAAATTTTGTTAAAACCACGACTAATTTTGTTGGTAATGTTACGGTTACGGATCTTTTCCATTTATGTTTTAATATGTAATCTTGTTTGTTGTAGGCCTTTACTATGACAGCAACTCTGGAGTTTGGTATTCGTACGATCAACAGACTCAACAATATGTCCCTTGTAATGACCAGAACAATACTAAGGCAGCCGGTGAGGCGGCCAGTGAAAACACTAAGGCCTCAGATAGTAATAGTGGCAAAAAGGTTGTGATCTCTGCGCCTGCTGCCACAATTAAACAAAGTGAGAAAACTTCACTTCCTGATGCTGTTCAAGCTGCTGCAAATGCAGCACTGGCTGCAGAAAAGAGAGAAAAGGAGAAGGCAAAAGAGATTAAATTGGCCTCAAAAAGTAGTCTCATAGCTAATAAGAAGAAGATGAACAATGTCCTAGCTATGTGGAAGCAAAGGAATCAAGAAGGGCAGGCCGCACGAGTTGTCCTTGATGACAAAGAACCATCAAGTTCTGATGATAAATTTAATCATTCACATAGTGGAACTGGATTCTCTTTGAAAAGTAAGCCGAATTCTGACTTTGAAAATGCTATGGATAATTCTCTTGGCCAAGGAATTGCATCGACCCAAATGTTGGATTCCGATGTAAAGCCTAGACCTGTCAGTAACAGCTTAGGGACTACAGTTATGGGTGTCATAAGAGGTTCTGCTAGAGGAGTGATCAAGTCAGATACTACGTTTCATGCATTAACTGATGCCAGTAGCACTGACTCCCGCACCACTATAACCACAAGAGCAAGTGGGTTAATGACAAGTCCTGAGGCACTTGTAACTCCTTCTCCCTTCAAAACTGATGTGTCTGCCTTAGTCTCTAATACTTCATCGGGAGTTTCTGGGAGTGGTAAACGTCGGTTTTCTGAGGCACCAGGACAATCCCAGTACAGGGATCGAGCTGCAGAAAGACGAAATCTGTATGGATCATCTCTTGGCACTGATACTGTTGGATTTGATTCAAGTAAGACTACACTTTAAAGTTTTTATCGTGTACAATTGCTGTCATTTTTCCATTGTCATTCCTTCATCACGATGTGTTAGTAACAGCAATATACTGTCCGTCCAGAAATTTATTTTTCTTTGTTATTCTCATCATTATCATTTTGCTGAAGCATCGTTGGCAGTATGCTCAGTGTATGCTCAGTTTCGTATTAGTGTTTATATAAGTCTGACTTGGTATTTCTAGGGATTTTTTTTTTGTTACCATTGGAATATGTCCTTGACTCTTTTGTTACCATTGGAATATGTCCTTGACTCAACAAGTTTAAGGATGATGTTTTCGGTTTTGCTTGTAAGATTTTTATTGATTTTCTGGAAATTACCTGTTGTCAAGCTGGTGACTATCCATCCCGAAAGGGTTCAAGTGAGATAGGGTCGATGCCGTTTCCTCCTGGTGTGGGTGAACGTTCCAGTGGTGAAATTGGCAACAGCGAAAACTATGAAGTTATTACCGCTGATAGAACAATCGACGAAAGCAATGTGGGCAACCGTATTCTACGCAACATGGGGTGGCAAGAGGGACTGGTAAGTTCATCTCCCACATATTTCTCAGTTTGATTGAGATGCTCTCAGGCTTGATAGCATTTTCTTTACAATGTCTCCTGCATTTGATCATGAGTGTTTATGCCCCTTTTTTATTTCTTGTTTCTACTGCAAATGCGTCTGACTTTGGAATCGATTTATGTAATTTTTTTTGAGAAAAAACCCGGCAAATATGCCTATTTGTAGTAAGGTAGAACCATAGAAGTATGGAATGAAATTTATTTTAATGCAACTCTCTGGTTTTAACTGAAGTTGTCTGGAGCTTGGTGAGCTGTTAGTATCAGTTAGCAAATCTTAAGCTTGTCTTGTTGATCTCTTTCCAGAAATAACTAATGAAGTATACCTGTGTGTCTTGACTAGTTGATTGAGTCCATGTGCTTCCTTTGTGTCTAGACTCTACCGTGTAAGAATCAGGAGTTACTGAGTATTTAGCCTGAGCGAGAAGATGTCTAGTGGGAATGAATAGTTTGTTGGCCACAAGAAGTGACTGAATGCAGGGGGAATCAGTGTGCCCATATTTCCTACATTGGGGGAAAGTGCGAAAATATTGTCTTGTATTCCTTCTGATGTGAGTGTGCATTTGTATTGTTTTTGTTTCTTGCAACTACTTTGCAAATATCCAGGGTCTCGGAAAGGATGGCAGCGGTATCAAGGAACCAGTCCAGGCAAAATCCGTGGACGTCAGGGCTGGACTGGGAAGTCAGCAGCGGAAGGCTGATCCATCCCTAGAGGCCCAAGCCGGGGACAGCTACAAAACCATCATCCAGAAGAAGGCCATGGCAAGATTCAAGGAGATGTCTTAGCTACACTGTTTTTTCTATTCCGTTGTCGCATTTTGTAGTTTGTTTACTTTTTTTTACAGTCTGCGCACTGTTTTGCTTGTGCTTTTTCATAAACCCAGCTGCTGAATTGTGATTTATTTTCCTCAAAGGGCACCGTGTTTATCATGTAGTTCGAGACCTGGATGTTTTTTTTTGTGTTGGGGTTTTCATTTGCACGACGTATGTGTCGTGTGTTGACCAGTTGATTTGCCACACACGATGTGGCCGTAGAGCCTCTACATCAGATCGTCACAGATTATTTATTTTTTTAAACGGTGTCAGAGAATGATGAATTTATAAAGTTGCTCCGAGGTTCGCCCGCTCGGGCTCCAGCGGCCTCCACATGGCGACGGTTGTTCCACTGGGTGGGTCTGAGATGTCAGTGATAGAGGAAGGGGATTGAGAAAAATTACTGTGTTTGAGGGGGAGGGGGTGATTTTAAGAGATCGAGATTTTTTTTTAGAAAAAGGCTATTAGAAAGGTGGTCTTTGGAGCATGTTTTCTCCTTTATTACTAAATATGGAGAGAAAGGGGATTGATTTTACTCAATCTGGTGAAGTGGAGTTGCTTTGAGATTTTTTTTTGATCGGTGCCTGGTGGTTTTAACGACCATTTGGTGTGTTTGGTCGAGCCGTGGCTTCTGAAAAAGTTACTATAAGCTGTGGGAAAGCTGCAGTAGGTTGTGCGCTGTTTAGTTTAAACAAATATAAAACTTACCTCATATCTCTATTTTTCTTCAACAATTATGAAATAACTCTATTTTCATCATTTCAAAAAGCAGAAAGCCAAAAGGGCCCAATGTGTTTTTAAAACGTAATACACAAAACTAGTTATTTCTAAAAAAACAACTTCTGGTTTTTTACCACCTAGGGAGTGTTTGGCTGGCTGGTTAATAAGTTAAAATACTGTTCCGCCTGGATTGTCGTGAGAGAAAAATACTGTTCATATGAACAGTGCCCACGTGAGTGGGCGGGTTGGCCGGCCGGCCAGCCAACCAAACACGGCCTTAGTTGGCTTTTGGGACTGTGGGAATGTACAACCCACACACGTCTCTAAGACTGACTCCAGTAGCAGACGCATAACGTGACCCAAACCTAAAAATGCGTTGTATACAGTGTTTTTGCGGGACAAAACGCGCTCCAACGGAGGAGGCAAACCCATGACCCATTTTGCGTCGGAGCTGAGGCAGAACCCAAAAACGTGACTTCGCTCAGTCCTTCTGCGTCTCCACGCAGGGCTCACCACAGGAAGCGGATGACCGGAGCCCGAGATCCGCACCGGAGGCCCGCGCTCGCCGACGTCGGCGAGGGCGACGCGTCCGCTGCTATGGTTGCCGCAACCTCGACGCCGGCGTCGCGCTCCTCCACGCCTGCAACGCCATCGCCGCCTCCTCGCGCTCCACCTCCCTTCCGCGAGCGCGGGCCCCACGTCCTCCTTGGCGTCGGCGGCGGCGCCGGGATGGCCGCGAGCCCAAATGCATCGAGGAGCAATGGTGGAGCACGGGAGAAGAGCAACGCGAGGGGCGGGAGAGCACGAGCGTATGGGCTGTGGAGGAGCACACACACGGCGCGCGCGATGAGCGACGAAGCTGCAGGCACAAGCTATCAGGCGGAGGTGCAGCGGCGGTGGTGAATTTCACCGGCGGGTTGAGTCGGCCGGTGGCGAGCAGGAAGGGGAAAAGAGGAAGAACGCCGGCGGCTTGGGCTTTTAACGGCGAGGACGAAGCGGGAGGAGTGGCTGGCTCCACTTCGTCGAGAGGCGGGTCCGCTGGCAACAAGCGTGTCCGGCGAGCGAGCGGCCCGATGCGGTGAGGCGGGCGGCGCTCGGCTTCTCGTTTGCGTCGCTTCGTTGGAGAAGTGAAGTTTTGGGTCCGTAACACTTTAGCTGTGGGCGACCCAAAACATCGAATGCCTCTTGTTTTTGCGTCCGGACCGTTGGAGATAGTCTAAGCGTCTCCAATCTGCGTCTCCAATCTACCATGATGGATCCCAAGCTGCTGAACGCCCAAACGAAGGAGAAATTGGATCGCCCGTTGATTCCCACCAAGCAGTAGATGGTGAAGGGGGGGGGGGAATGGAAACCCACCACACCATCCAATGATGGAGTCGTCGCCGCGCCGGGGAAGGCACCTCCGCCAGATCCATCAATGGGAGTCGTCGCCGCGCCGTACCCGAGACCACCGGAGATAGGGTGGGTCACCGCTACTGCCGACGATGATCCGCTTCCGCGACCTAGGGTTCGGCTTGCAGAATCCGTGGCTAAGGCCATGCCTCCCTCATGACCGAGGATGCGGGCCGCTGAGCCACTTCCATGCCCAGATGTGTGCGCCGAGGCCGCCGCCGCCGTAGCAGCAGCCGAGGCGCCCTTGCTCTTCTTACCTGCGGCAACAACTCGTTCTTCCTAGCCGAGGCGCTCAACATCGCGGTCGACGAAGGTCGGCGGTGCTTGGAGCGGTGGAAGAAAGGAACTGGCAATGGCTCACCTTCATCGGGTATATGAGGAGAAGATTTTGGCGTGAGAGCACCTTCCCGCGCACGCCTGGGATCCGCGCAACGACGAGGCGAGGAGGCGGGCCGTACATCGCTACTGGAGCCGTCTTCTCCGCTGGGACATTCCCGTCGCCTCGCGAGGCAACGCCGACTCCATCTCTAGCCTCCCATGGGGTGTTTTTTTTGTAAAAAATACATCGAAGCGACGGGTCAAGGGATCCGTTGTACATGCTCTTAGGGGTGAAAGATGATAAGGGCTTTTTCCTTGTTTAATTTCTTCCACTTCTTTTTCTCCTCTTATTTTTCTGTTCTTTCTTTCGTTTCGCAGAGAACATTGTTCATTCTCATCTGTGCGCTCACATTCTAATCTAACCAATCCACCGAGGGAGAAGCCAAGCAACTAGTCTTTTTGACGGGAGAGGCTTCGGACATCATGGGGAGCAAGTCAGCTACTCCATTTTCTATTTTTTTCTGCTATTAATTCAGCAAATTATTTACCAATTGATATTCATAAAAAAGATGTCGTTTTTGTTATCTTCAGAATATGCTTGTCAATTCTTCATTTCATCAACTCAGATTCTTATTTGCATCATTTGAGCCCAACACAATAAACAACTTGGGATTAAACCCTGCACATGATCTCATCAATCATGTCAGTCACTTAATGTTAGTAAAATGTTAGTCTCTTAAATTGTGTTGTCGTTCAATCCATCGAAATCCAATTAGGATCTAGATGCATTTTTAGATAGAAATGAAGTTTAGATTGCTAAAATTTAGGTCTATGTTGTATGGATACATACATTAACTAATAGGTACTAATATCTTGGCAAAAATTTCAATGCCCTTAGTTCTTGTGCCTGAGGGAGAGGAGAGAGAAAGGGGTAAGTCCAAATTAGCTTAGTTTGGCCAACTAATGAACTAACTGGTAATTGGGGATGGACTAAAAAGTAGTTCACCTTTTAGTCTACGAGTTTGGATGACTTGAGACAAAAGTTTAGTCTGGGTATCAAAATAGACCCTAATGTTGGCTTACAAGTATGTAGTTAGAGTGCACATCAATTGTCGTTTGTCTCATTATTTCCTCTGCTCCTCCTGAGCAACAACAACAACAGGTTGTAGCAGGTGCTTATCCCTTCTTTCGCTGAATCCATATCTGTTTAGTTTGTTCATTGCCCTTGTGTGACACTCCATCAATTTTGCCTTTTGCATGCTCAAATTCTCATGTTTCCATTCACCTTATGGCAAAATTGGATATTTAGCATTGAAAGGATACTGTTTAAAAAAATACCATCAGAAGTGTGAAATAATTATAACGGCTCGACGTGCCTGCCTATGTTCATTATATGCTCTGGTTGATGCTTTCCTAGTACGACTAGGTACATGTAACACCTCAGAAGAAAAACAACAAAATCTTCTAGAGAATTACTACAAAACAACAGAGTACGCAGAAGCATCAACAATCATTTAGATTTAACATTAAATTAAGTTTCCTACGATGACATAAGAAAATACATCTTCAAACATAACAAACAAACCTCAGATGCTTATTACAACGTACAAAATGACTCTCCAACCAACTAGTATGAAGTGCACAACATGTGGGCATTCTACTCCCATCCTGCCAAGCATCCTCGAAGCTCATGTACCTGAGATAGAAGAAACAAGCGAATGAGGTTTATGAAAAACCTTAGCAAGCAAATTGCTTTAACAAAGCTATTCAAACCATAGGTTGATTAAGCATCATATTTAAACAACGATAACAGACCACATTTACTTCATAAGTTATACTTACAAATGGTGCAATACAATGCATGACTTCATTTCTACCCACACGTCCCAAGGAGAGGGAGTGAGGGCTGCAACCACATTGCTCATTTAAACGTACGTTGCTGCATTGGTACCGCACCAATCCGGCTACAGTTTCTTCAAATGTATCTTAATAAAAAAGTGCAAATGCAAATGCTGCAATGTGTTTACTTCACATACTTCATACTTCATAATTCAGTAATAATACCACAAGAGATAAGAAATAGAGTACTTCAAGTAAAATATTACTTCAAATTTAAGATTATATAGTTAGTGTGAGGTATTGAAATTTAGTGGAGACAAATAAAATAACAGAGCTAAAGCATGTGGACCACAACGCCAGGTTAACTTGCCTTCACCGACGATTGATCAAAAGAGCTAGCACACTCCAATGGCAAACTACCTGATCACAAGTAATAATCAGCACCAACACCATCGTACAAACAATGACATACGCACAAGAACACCCAAATCCATAGATTAAGCTACTATTGATGCACTTTGGCTAATGACAACAACACTGTTACTTCTCTATTTTGTACAATTTTAACCATACATCCAAAATTTTTCAAAATTGACCAGATGATAGAAGAATACATTACCTATAACTCTTCTATATTATAATATTCGACATATTCAATATTCAATATTGCATAAATAATGATTGAACATAACTGAACATTGCTGATGACCAAAATAGGACAGCAAAACCATAAATTTTTTAACTGGAGATATACTAATCCAAAAAATATGTTCTTTACCAATTTGGAAAACTTAATAAAAAACCTACAGCTTTTGTTTAGATCAAAAGTTCAAATCACTCCATTACAATTGCCAAAAATTGAATAGATCTAAAATTGTCCAGATATTCGTCACTGAAAAACTGCCTTCTTAAAACGATCATATTTCCAAAAGTACAGAGGCTATGTGGGTGATCTTGGTGTCAAAAGAAAGGTATTGAAGTCCTCAACAACTTTGTCCACAGTGGAAATTTTTTTATTAAGGCCATTAGGATACCTGAAAACGATGATGAACAGGAACTGCACAGTTTGGCGATAGGATTTCAGAACGTGGACGAGATTAATTTCAGGAATTACTCCAACTAAACCCCTTCTAAACAAAGAATTTAATCCACAAAACTTTATCCAAAGAAGTGTATTAGGATTTGGCATCTCACTTCTCACCTAGTCAACCACAGAGAGCACGACGATAAGGCCCCGAGGATCCACTCATTTCATTCCTCTTCTCCACCTCATGACGATCCTCGTGGATACGACCGTCTCGCTATTCTGATTTAAGGCGAACGTGGTACCTCCTTCATGGACAGCGAGGGGAAATAAGAAATTGAGGGCAAGGACGGAGGGAGAAAACGATGAACCGATGTTTAGGGAAGAATAGGCACGCCGGAAAATGACGGTGAAGCCCTAAATCCCTCTCTTCTTCCTTCTTCTCACTTCTTTTTTTTTTACTTTCTCCCTTGCCTTAGGTGGAATGGTGGCAGCTGAAGGGTTCTGGAAGGGGAACGGCATCTATTCTTGATGAGGCCACGACGAGGGAGAAAAAAAAACAAACAGAGAGAAGGACTCGGTCATAATGCGGGCTCTCTCTGGCCGCTAGAGTAACATTTTTCTTTTCCTCCCTTAAATCTTCCAAAAAACTACCTGATCATGCTTATGATTTGTTTCCTTTTGGATTGTTAAGTCTCTCCTTTACCTTTGCATCGTGAAGGTTTAAGCATGGGACTATAATCCAACTTGCATATTAGGGCAAGTACTTTGATAAACTTCACCGGCCCCATATATAGGTCATCTCATGCAATGTCTCGTACTTTCTCCGTCACAAAATAAGTGCATATCTCGTACTTCGAGAAGTCAAACACTCTTTAAGTTTGACTAGACTTTTAGAAAATAATATTAGCATTTGTATTTTAAATAGGTTTACCATAAAAATATATGATGTGATTCGTCTAATGATGGTTGTTTGGCATCATAAACATTAATATTTTTTTTGTATATATTTGGCCAAACTTAGAATTTGTTGACTCCTTGAAGTACGAGATATGCACATATTTTGGGAGAGAGGGAGTAAGATTTTTCATGATGTGGAGGAGAAACAGAGAGGTGAGAGAAAGAGGTTGTTTCGTGAAACATCGCCTCATAAGCTAAATGTAGAACTATGAGACAGCTTTGCGGGGGAAAGGCTTGTCTCGGTTTATCTCTTCCAGACCCCACTCATGTGGGAGCCTCCGGCACTGGGTCTTCCCTTTATGAGACAGCTTTGACACCATTGTATGAGTTGCCATACGACTGGCACCATTCCTTTGTTTATGGACAAATCATGGAATTATAAGCTCCTATGAGACAACTTACAAGAAAACTCACTGTATGATGTTGTCTATTAAATTGACTCAAAATTAGGTGGCACTGCATGAGACCCTCAATGAGACAACACCAGTGTACTTGCCCTTATGGCCTTTAGCTATACATTTAGAGAAACATGATAGTATAAGGCACTTCTAACTAATATGAACTGACATCACTTACTTTTTTTAGTACAAATGTATTTATCTCTGATAGCATGCATCTTAGCAGTAGCATCACTCATTGACATGCGCTCTTTGGGCAATTGTGTTGAGCAAAGGATCCCAAGCTGAATGACGGCTGACAAACATTCCCTTGTTCTTGTTATATGCCATGTATCATTGTCATTACTTATTGCTCCATCGTGCAGCCACATGTTTGAATCTGCTATCTCCATAACCTTGTAAGGAAGAGCTGCTTTAGCGTAAAAATGCAAGCTTACCCCATCTCTGAACATATCATCGGTGGGGCTCTTTCCTGTGAACATCTCGATCAAAGTGATGCCAAGACTAAACACATCACTGGAAGTTGATACCGCAAGCCCTTCTCCATATTCTGCAATAAATTGCAAAAAATGCAAGCTTAGTTAATTATTTTGAAGCCTTCACATTAATTGTATGAGACACTAAAAGATATAATCCCTAAAATACTAAAAAATATAAAAAAATCTAGCTACCAATTTAGTCGACTCTAGTCATTGTTATCAATAATATCTATTGATCAATTATGTATTTGAAAAAAATTACGCACAGTTATCTTAAGTAACCCCCTCCATCTGTATGTAAATTACCTACGTCTATCATTATAAAAAAACACATAAACATCGCGCACGCACACACACACACACACACTTTTTGACCCCAACTCATTACACTTTATTGCATCACATCTACACATGTGTTTACTTGAAATTCTATCATTTGTTAATATTTGAACACAATACTCATGAAGACACCCCATGGCTGAAAGTACTGTTGGCTGATTTGTTGTGAGAGAAAAAAATACTGTTCGTTGGCTGAAAAAGTACGGCTTATAAGCCAAGCGAACATGGCGACTTTTGTCTCTTCACTGTGTTGTTACAGACTTTACTTACTAATACTTTATATATTTTCCATCCTCATTCATAGTTTTCCTCTTTGCATCGTGCCTCCATGTGTGTTTGACTTGTGTCTAGGTCAAACCATAGCTTCAACTTTCTGTTGAGGTCATAACCACGGGTTGTAGGAGAGGGTGTGTTACAATATACGTAGCTTGCTGTGGAAGTCTGTATTGGGGTGGTTGGCCATATGGAGTGTGTGAACCGTAAGGGTAATTTTGTAACTTTAGTACAGTTGTATGGTTAACTGAATGGCAGCTATTGTCCATGGGCGTGTAGTGTGCCATGGTGGTATAGTGTGGGGTCTCCTTGTAGCTTATGGATGATGCATCTTGGCCCTTGTTTAGTTCCCAAGGTTTCTGAATTTGGCCATTGTCCATGGGCGTGTGGAGTGTTGCCAAATCAAAAACTAATGGTGTTTGGTTGTACTTTGGGGTCTCCTTGTATGAATTACTAGTTTTGTTTCGGATGCATCTTGTTGTTGTTGCTCTTTGAATTCTTTGACCTTCTCGTACCAGATGCATTGTTTAGTGGTATGTCCTTGCCTGACACCGCAAAAATGACTGTATATTTCGCTAAGTCCTTTTGTAGGCTTGACCTCTGCTTCCTCAACCTCGACCACCTTGGCCTCCTCTCCCTTGATTTGACGGTTGCCCTGGAGGTTGGGTTCTTTTATCAATGTTGTTGACATTGAATTGGAGTTGGTGGGCTTGTTATTTTTTATTGCTTTGCCCAAGTTGTTGCCGTTGAGCTTCATTTTTTCTTCAGAAATCGGCATCTATCTGACAGTACTTTTCCATGACTTTGTATAGCTCTGTGATTGTTTTTGTTGGTTTCCTTACAAAGCGAGAAGAACAAGATTCAGACCTGAAACTACTGACTGCAGCTAGAAACATGGCCTCATCTGAGTGATTGGATGTTTTTGCCTTGAGTTGCACAAATCTTTTTCTAGTAGTCTTGCAAGGGTTCCTTGTCTTGTTGCTTGCACTAAAACAAATCTATTGGGTTATGGAAGTGACACTGACACCTTGGAAGTTGTCATCGAGCTTTTGCCGAAGATGTTCCCAAGATCAGATCGAATTTGGGAAAAGGTTGGCGTACCAATTCTATGTGACATCGTGAGCCACTATGACAGAATTTTTTACGAGGGTTGACTCATCACCTTTGGCCACTGCCACGCTCTGTGGTGTACATTGCCATCATACTTTGGTATGTTCTGAGGGTTGTACCCTTGAGGCCATTGTTGGTACGTTGAATGCCTTTGCACAATGGCAACTTCGGGTCATATGATATGCCATTTGTTTCTAGGTCGACAACTGGGGTGACTTCCTATTGTACTAGCCTGGATTTCTTGTAAAGCTTGGCAGTGTCAATTATCGAGAGTTTGCATTTCCTAACCTAGGTTGTAGTATCTTGCGTTTGGGAAAGCTGATTTGGCTGCCTCAGAGGCAGCTGGTTTCATGGTTGTTGGGTTTGTGAGAAAGGTTGATGATATGCAATTAACTCGTCCATGGCTTTGAGAGATTTCTCGACTTCGACTATCTTGGATATGATATCTTTGATTCGTCTTTGCCACTGTGAATTTGCTTGATTTTTCTTCATTTTTACCTAGCTTTTCATACATGTCTAGCTCCCTGAGTTTTGCTTGTTTGTTGAACTCTTAAATGGCTTCATTTTCTTGCTCTGTGACTGCATCAAGCGTTCTTGATTGCTATGAGTTTGTGTGGTTCAAAGATTGGGCTTGTGCTATTATTTCTTTGTTGACACTACACTCTAGCAACCTTTACTCTATTCTGTTCAAAGGTTCCCATACGAAACCAGTTAGTTTTGTGTCCTCGAGAGTTTTGACCAGTATAGCTTGACCCGAAGCATTAGTGACTACGGTTTGCTCTTCTTGTGCTGTGTCTCGATCTCGTGGGTGTAGCTTTTTCACTGCTTCAGGTGTTATATTGCTTTTGATACCTTCGGGTGCCTTGAGCTCACCATCATTACCCTCATGGCTCTTTAAGTATCATGCGACTCATCCTCTCAGTACCATCGAGCCTCAAGCAAAATAGATTCAAAACACGACCAAAGTATTTAACTCATGGAAAACAGGGAATGGAGGTTGACGGTGAGCTCTATTGTGTTTTTATTATATTGTCTATAATAATGACAAATTTAAGGGAGTTTAGATGCAATGCAAACTTAGGAGTTACTTCATATTATACATAATAATGACACGTGGGTAATTTTGAAGCAAATGTGTTACTCCAAATTATCTTTTATAATAGCAGAGTTCGGTAGATGCAAATTTACGCTTACTTTATGTATTTTTCCATAATGGTAGAATAAAATAAGCTCCAATGGCTGTTATTTGCGATGATGATTATAGCCTACCAAATTAAAGGACAGCTATTATAATTATCGTGAGATTTTTTAGGATTTACTTTTTTTTTGCTAGTGCGTCTCGTGAGGATTAACGTGGATGCCTCCAATTAGTTGTGTACCAAAATTAGTCTTGAATTTCTACCATTATGTCTCTTACGTTGTGGACTAGTAGGGATAGATGCTATAATGTAAAACACAAGGGGAATATCATATTTTAGTTACCTGGAGCAATGTATCCAATAGAACCTCTTATTCCAATAGTGCTACCAGAATATGCAAGATATTTGATTGTTGCTTCATGTAGAACTTTAGCAATGCCAAAATCCCCAACACGAGCTCTCATGTCCTGATTGAGAAGAATATTGCTTGGCTTGAGATCACAATGGATGATCGGAGGCTTGCAGCCGTTGTGCAGATAATCCAAAGCATCCACAATGTCCACGGCAATATCCAACCTCTGTGAGAAGCTGAGTGTTATTTGTCCATTTTGGCCTTCAAAATTTGAGTGGATCCATCTATCTAAGCTGCCATTAGCCATGAACTCAAACACTATTGCTCTAAAGTCTTGACCGTGGTGGTTGACGCTAGAACAACATGTAATGATCTTTACAAGACATCGGTGTCTCACTCTTCTTAATGCCTCACATTCAGCTTGGAAGCTTTTGTAGGACCCTGATTGCCGTACATTAAACACCTTAACAGCAACGACAGTGGCTTCATTTTCTAGAGTGCCCCTGTATACTGTGCCATATCTTCCTTGTCCAAGCACATTTGATTCTGAAAAACCATCCGTTCCTTTCAGTATATCCTTGTATGGAACTATTGGAAGCTCTCTCTCTATGAATTGAGCTGCTACTTCTTCCTTAGGTGTTGTCTTCAATAATTTTCGGTAAAGCGATCCAGCCCAAACAAGCCCTGAAAGTATGAGTAGGAGAGCTGCTACTGTTGGGATTGCAATCATAAGGGACCTTGTCATATCTTTGTTTTTTTTTGAAGGAACTGGAGGGGCTTGCGCCCCAACAGATAATTTTATTGAAATTAAAAGGACAACAAGTTTACAGAAATTGAAAAGGAAAAAAACCACCACTTCTTAGGGGAGTGGAGCTAGGGAACATCAAAAGAAATAAAGAAAATCAACAACAAAGCAGTGTTTAAGCAAAACTTTGTATCCATTGATCAAAAGCCTGAGAGGATCTTGCACTGACTCTATGCGTGAGCAACTTCATCTCCTTTTGGAAAACTCTTCTGCTGGCTGCTAAATCTGGTTGAACATCATAAAAAATGAGAGTATTTCTTGTAGTCCAAATTGCCCAGCAAATCAGGATTACTGCGTGCATGTAAAACTGAGAATGCACTGCATCTCTGAGGAGGTACATGCAATCAGGGAATTCTGAATCAGGAGGAATGCTAACCTCAATGAACTCCCAACATTGCTTTGCAAATTCACATTGCAGAAAGAGACGATGAACTGATTCTTCTATGTTCTGGGCACAGAGTACACAGCTGTATGATTGAAGTGTCATATTTTTTCTTTTTAAAATGTTCCTTGTGCTCAATCTGTCCTTCAACAAAAGCCAAAAGAATACCTTGTGTTTTGGCTGGCAATAGCTTTTCCAGATCCACTGAATGGAAGGGTGATGCTGTGAGTGGCCCATCAAAATCTTGTAAGCTCTTGAAGATGAGAATTTGTTCCCCCAAGAATAGTGCCAGATGTCTTGCTCTGTGCTTAACTGTAAGCCTGCTGTTTCTTGTGTTACAAGTTGCAATTGATTGTATGCTGATTCTGAAATTGGGAGCTGCAGTAATTGAGTCAGGTCATCATGATCCCATGCAGATGCTAGGGAAATGGTTCTGTTTTTGGCAAAGGAAAATAACTCTGGAAATTCAGTTTCTAAGCTCTGTGCTCTCCAATTGTCCTTCCAGAACAGACAAGTTGTACCATTTTTAACCTGAATTTGTGCCATGTCCTTGAAACTCTGAATGTTTTTTATATTATCCCTCCACCAGAATGACCCTTTTTTGACTGAGGTTGGTAATCTTCCATTTGCATAGTGTTTTTCCCAAACTATCTGGACCCAAGGAATTTCAGCTTTATTGAAGAATTTGTGCATGTTTTTAAGCAACAAAGCCTTGTTTTGTTCTTCAATGTTTATCACTCCTAGACCCCCTTCATCTTTGGATGTGCAAATTAATGGCCATGCTGCTTTTGGTTGCCCTTTACCATTGACATCTGACCCTCTCCATAGGCAATGCTTCCTATATTTATCAATCTGTTTCACCACATTTTTTGGAAGAGCCAGGGTGCACATGTAGAAAGTTGGGAGTGCAGTGAAAACTGCATTGGTCAATTCAAGTCTGCCAGCTTGTGAGAGAAAAGTGGACACACTGGCCAGCCTTCTTTCACATTTGTTCACTAGGGGCAAAAAATCTTGAACTCTTGGCTTGGTTAGACCCAATGGGAGCCCTAAGTAAGTGAATGGAAAACTTCCTTTGGAGCAACCAAAGGTTCTTGCCAAATGTCATGTCTTTGTTATCCTTTATTGCACTAGAGCTTGGGCATTTTGGTAGACGGAGCTGTGGTACTCCACAGCATAATGCCGTGTTCCCAACAATTGATAGTCCAGTTATATTTCTGAAAACACCGTTTGTTGGTACTTTACCCGGCAAATTGTTGAAGGATAGATCGAGACAGAGCAGTGTTGTTGAATTACCGAAGAGTTCCGGTATTACTCCTGATAAATTATTGTGAGCAAGGTACAACTCCTGCAAGTAGGTGATGGTTGCTAGGTTGCTAGGGATGCTGCCATTCAGTTGGTTGTTGGCTAAATTCAATATAGTCAGGCCTGCCATGTTCCTGAAAGTAGCAGGTATGCTTCCTTGGAATGAATTGTCATCCATGGTTAGGATTTCCAGGACTCTGCAGTTTCCAATGGTATCAGGTATCTCACCTGATAGTTTGTTTCCTGATAGGCTGAGCTGCTTGGGATTTACCAAATTACCTACTTCTGAAGGAAGCGGTCCTTCCAGCAAGTTGTAAGACAGAGAAAGAAATATTGTGATTGACGATAGCTCCAGAATTTCGTTCGGAATAACACCAGTAAGCTTGTTACTGGACAGGTCTAAGGCTGAAAGTTTTCTCAAATTTCCAATGCTTGGTGGAATTGACCCCTCCAAGCTGTTGCCACTTGCATTGAGTTCAGATAGCGCAGTGAGGTTCCCGATGGAGGATGGTATGCGTCCTGACAAGTTGTTGGAATACAGATACAGCTGGATCGATTGTGTAAGCTTCCCTATGCTTTCAGGAATGGCCCCAGTGAGTATGTTGTCGTCGAAATCAAGGTTGGCAAGACTTGCCAGATTTCCTATGTCAGATGGGATGACACCAGATATGTAATTGCTGGGAGTCCGTAACCACTGAAGGTTGCTAGTCAGATTAGCCAACGAACTTGGTAGTTTCCCCGCAAACTGGTTGCCGCCAATGCTAAGCATCTGTAACCTGCTGCAGTTCGTCAAAGAATCGATAAATTCCCAGTCTTGCTCGTTGTTCGCCTCGCACATGTTGTAATCCAGAACAAACACCTGAAGATCTTGCAGTCTGCCCAATTCAGATGGAACAGTCCCACTAAAACTATTGAATCCTGCGTAGAGCTTGTGAAGCCTGGAGAGATTGGTTATTTACAGTGGAAGAGGTCCGGTAAATTGGTTTCCTCCAATCCCCATCTGTAGCATGCTCGGGAGGCCATTACCCAGGTCGGATGGTAAACGGCCATGCAGCTTGTTTTCCGCCACATAAAAGTAATAAAGAGACGATGGGTTGGACAGCAGGGAAGGCGGAAGCAAACCCGAGAGATTATTAACGGAGAGCTGAAGGACAGCCAGATATGGATTGTTGCCGATGCCTACAGGGATCGATCCCTCCAGATAGTTCATCGACAATGACAGCTTGGTCAACCGGGAAATGTTCCCGAGAGATGGCGGCATGGTTCCGGTGATGCTGCAGTTGAACAGCATCAGAACTGAGAGCGATGGCATGTCTCCAATCTCAGGTGGGATGGTTCCCTGCACCCCCATGTTGCTGTACATGTACATCTCACGGAAGCTGATGCAGCGGCTGATGTTACTCGGGATGACACTGGTGAGCATGTTCTCACTGAGGTCAATGCGCTGGGGGCGCCTCAGGGAGCCGATGCTGGTAGGGATATCTCCTTGAAGGGCGTTGGTGCTCAGGTTCAGTGAGAGCAGGAAGGTGAGGTTGCCGATGGCGGGGGAGATAGTGCCGGTCAGCCCCTGGGCGCTGAGGTCCAGAGCTACCACCCTCCACGGGTGTCTCTTGCCGCAGGTGACGCCCTCCCAGCTGCAGTAGCTTGTGCTCTGGTTCCACGAGTCCAGCACGCCGGAGTGGTGGGAGATCTTGGCCTTGAAAGCGAGAAGAGCTCCCTCGTCACCACCATGGCCCATCCAAGCTGAGGAGAACAGCAACAGCAGCTGGAGGAGGAGGAGGAGGCATCGGATTCTCACGAGCGGCATGGTTGGTGGCTGCTTCGAGTCAAGCGCAGAGATCCACATTTGTGGGTTGGAGTTTCATACGTACAGAAAGGGTGCACGCAATTAAAAGGTAAACCTGTCATGACCGGTGTAAGTTTCAGTACTAGTCGAAAGGGATTGCTTGGTTGGTGCAGTTGTGTTATTAATCATTCTATGCGGTGGCGGAATACTTACGCTTTGATTATAGGACTACTTTGATAGGAACTTCTAAAGGAATTTAATTTAATGCTGACGAATTTTAAATGCAGACAATGAGCAAGAATGGGAATTTGTTGCTTCTTTGAACAGTTGCACGAGGTTACAAATCCTCTTCATTGGATGGAACAAGTCTGCAGGGAAGCTGCCAACTTCTTTGTCTAATTTGTCCACCAACCTCCTTTGGCTACGGACGCACAGCAACAACGTATGAGATCGGAAATCTGGGAAACCTTCAGGTTCTTGCTTTTAGCAAAAACTTACTCACAGGTATAATTCCTGAAAGCATAGGTATTTGAACTGAACCAGCTATATCTGGATTCGAACTGCTTCTCAGGCCGTGTACCATCCTCCATTGGGAACCTCACTGGTCTATCACTCTATCTATACTTTGTGCACGTGACAACAGCTTGGAGGGGCCAATTTCACCAATGATTCGAAATATGAGCAAACTTTGGGTCTTGGATTTGTCGCATAACAAGTTTACTGGTTTTATCCCAAACAACATTATGCACCTACCATCAATTTCAATAGCTACTGAATTGTCGTACAACCTGCTTAATGGACCACTTCCTTTTGATGTTGATGGATTGGTAAATCTCGAACAGCTCATCCTGTCTGGAAACAAACTGTCAAGCGAGATACCTGAGGCCATTGGCAACTGCAAAGTCTTGGAATTCCTGTTGATGGACGATAATGCATTCTAAGGAAGCATACCTGCTACTTTCAACAATATGGCAGGCCTCACTCTACTGAATTTGACAAACAACAAACTAGATGGTACCATCCCTGGTAACTTAGGCAGCCTTACTGATTTGCAGGAGTTGTACCTTGCCCATAATAATTCAACGTCGCTGCTCCGCCTTGATCTATCCTTCAACAATTTGCAAGGTGATGTACCGGTAGAAGTTTTTTTTTTCAGAAATCTAACTGGGCTATCAATTATTGGTAACAATAAGTTGTGTGGTGGAATACCACAGCTTCGTCTGCCACTGTCCAAGCTCTAGTTCAAGAAAGAACAAGAGAGGCATGCCTAAGTCTCTTAGTATAGCAATCCCAACAACAGGAGCTCTCCTGCTTTTACTATTTGGGCTGGATTTCATTACAGAAAGTGCAAGACAGCAGCGAAGAAAGAACTACCACCACAATTCACGGAGAGAGAGAGCTTCCAATAGTTCCATACAATGATATACTAAAAGAAACAAATGGATTTTCAAAAGCAAATGTGCTTGGGAAGGGAAGATGTGGTACAGTCTAAAAGGGCATTCTAGAAAATCAACGGTGCAGGGTCATCCAGGGGTACGTGTAGGGCGATTAGGGGTGTTAGTTTAGGTTTTTGGGGTGCGTCAAGGGTTTATGCGGGCTCTGCCCTGTTCGTTTCGCTGAAATTTGGCTTATCTTGATGCTTATGCTGATTTGTTGTGAGAGAAAAATACTGTTCGTTCGCTGAAAAGTACTGTTGAAGTAGTGCTGCAGAACAGGGCGAAAAGCGGCAAGGAGGGCACTTGGCGACGACTTCATCACGGCGGGGGCCACGGCTGGCGCGTCATCGCCTCCTGTTGGCGTCGGCGTGCCCTCGCCCTGGATCGTTGATGTGGCGTCCATCGAGGAGGGGCGTGAGGCAGGCTCGGTTGGCGAACAACGTAGATAGGCACGGGGCTTCGGATCCTCACCGGCGGGTGTGCACGCGAAGGGAAAAGTAGAGGAAGGAGAAAGGTGGGTGATGACAGGTGGGGCCATGGGGTCCACTTGTCAGCGGCGGGTGCGAGAGGGGAGCAGGTGTGGGCGCCTTCGCTTTGCGGTGGCGTAACGTGCGTGAGGAGAAGGCGACTGGGCCACGCGCAAGTGCGGGGGAGGGAGGCGCTTGGGCGCGGTCGTGCGGGCCTGGGCCAGCGCACAGGTAGAGGTGAGGCTGGGGTGGGCTAGGCTGGTCTACTGGCTTCCTTTGCCTATTTCCTTATTCTTTTTCTATTTCCTTTTATATTCCTATTCCTATTCCTATTTCTATTTCTGTTGCTATTTCTATTTCTATTTCTATTTCTATTTCTATTTCTATTTCTATTTCTATTTCTATGCCATGTATATTTATAAACATGTTTACTCCCATAGGGTGGGTCCACTAGGTCAACCTTACAGGGTTTACCATGAAAGCGTCCTTGGCGCGCACACACAAGTTATTTAACTTATAAAGTTGATTAATTAACTATTAATCAAGCATAAGAATAAGAAGAAGCAAATCCTGAGTTGGTGTTTAATGCACATGCTCAACCATCTAATTGGGGTTCACTTAGTGCATCTATGGTTGGCTTCCTCGTATGTCCAATTACCATGCAGGGTTTTGGATTTTTTTTTTAAAAAATTGGGATTTTTGGCTCTGAGATTTTCAGGGTTGTTACAATAGCTATCCGAAGATAATAAACAATATTATTTCTACTGTATCGGAGGTGGAGGCAGCGACATCTTTTATTTTACTTTTGGACCGCCTTATTTGCAACTAGTCTAAATACATTGTGCCATGCAACTTAGCTATTGATTACTGTTGTGGGGCCCATCTATATGGACTGGTTGGTCTAAATACGTGGTTGCTCTAATCATCCTTTGGAGGCTTTGGAACGCTCAAAACAAGATAATTTCCATCGCGAAGATGATTCTCCTTGGGAAGTTCTTCGATCAGTAGCTAGAGACATTGACCTCTGGGCATGTGGATACAAGCAAGACATACCATCACTCCTAGCTTGGCTTGATTTTTTCTTGAATACGCAAAAAGTTTACGCATCGTTGTATTAAGATCGAGAAATAATGAAAGTTACAACGACGCGCCACGAACATTGCACACTAGAGCGGGGGTGTTAGTGTTATACAATCGGCTCTGCCCTCCCTAGCATAAGAAGATCATGACTATTACTCGCTAATCATACTACGTAGCCATCATCGGCGATCAGACGCGTCGGCGTGCGTGGCGCGTCGGTCGCTTTCCTTGTGGGTCTGGGAAGAGCTATCGCATTGCCTCAGCACGCGAGGGGTTGATCTGGTCTACGAAGATGTTGTCGTAGGCGTCCTTGGACGCCGTGGAAGGCCTCGTCTGCCCGTCGAGGCAGCCCATCCGCTTCATCACCAGCACCTCTCCCCGCTTCGAAGCCGGGACGAGTGAAAGCGCCTGTGTCGAGTCGGCAACTTTGGTTGTTCCTCCACATCTGACTGAGGTAGCAGCGGCGACGACACCTTACGCAGGATCTTTGTGGTGAACTGCTTCAACCTCTTGGTGGCGGAGCTCCCGCGTTCCTCGGGAGGTGTGGTCGTGTCAGCGGCTGGGTGGATGACACTGTGGCTTTGTGGGCACGCCTCGTCATCCACGACGGCAGGCTATCCCCCTCACGGCAGGGCGGGGGTGGCCACATCCTCGCCTGGGGTATGTTGTTGGAGCATGCCTTGGCCTCCACGGCGTGTCCGCCCGCTGTGGTGTGACTGGTGGCTACCCCTGCTCCGGCGACAGCGTAGGCGAGCCCATCGTCCAAGCCTTCGTCGGAGAACTAGTGTCCATCAGCGATGCTTCCTCATCCTAAGGAGCAGTCGACGTGGCGGGCGGACACCCAGGCATTGGTGCTTCTGGTGGCCGATTGACGATGTGCGAGGCGACGAACTCCTTCGGCATTGGGATCAGGCTCGTGGAGGTAGTGTGCAGCAGCAGAGCTAGTAGCATTGTCGGTGGAGGTGGCGGCTGCGTCTATGCTGGTGTCGCTCGCCGGCTTGCTCCGGCGCCGCCAATGTCATCGTCGGCCTCTGCTGGCGCCCCCCGCGGCCTCTACCGAACTCGGCAGACTGCCGTGGGGCGTGTGCTGGGGGCCGGTGCCTCATCTCCATGAGCAACGCCACCCTTCGCATTCGTCATCGCAGCAGACCTGATCTGCTTGTAGTCCCTGGCGAGGTGGCCGAAGCCGTGGCAGCGCAGATAACGCCGTGGCAACCGGCAAGTCGCTACTTTGTGCGAGTAGGAGAGGCAGTTGAAACATCCGTTGCAAAGCTCTGTGGGGATCCTCTGGGTCGGCGGGAGCTGCTCTTGGTGAGGCTCAATCAAGGTGGCCGCAGGTGGCGTCTCTGGTCGGGGGAGGATCTCCCGCCACCCATCAGAGTCGGGAGCGAAGACCCGTCCACGTCGGCTGAGGCATTGGCGGGCAGGGACGTGGCCCTCCACTAGCCGAGCAGGCAGGTGACGCACTAGCTGGGGCCACGGCTGGCTGTGCTTCCTCCGTCTTCACTCAGGTCCCTGCCGTCCGTCGTTCACTCCGCCACGGTCCAAAACCATGACATAATGAGTTTGGGCACGTGGCAGGGAAGAAGCTACCGGCCGGTCAACGAAGGGCATCCAGGTAGGTCACTGGGGCACCGTCGTCGGAATCCTTGCCGTCGTCGTCTTCGTCCGCCCATTGATGGCTCTTCGTGCGCCCACCCAAGGAGCAACCTGGGTAGAACGGTGGCGCCGCTGGCGAGAGGGTGGCCACGGTCGTCGCGTTGGTCCAGCGCACATCGCCCTGAGGCCCAGACGGGTTGAGGAAGGCGTCGAGAAGGTCTGTAAGGGCGACCGTCTGCACCTACATCCATGACGAGCCATTGTCCTCAGAGGATGCGGACCCAGAAGTGGTGCTTCTCGGCGCTGAGGGGGCCTTCGAGGAAGTCAGCGGCTCTCCCGCCGGCCGCTGCGGCGCTGGCATCGCGGATGGCGCGCGCACGGTAGATCCGGTGCCCACGAGCAGCTCTGGGGCGTCCATGGCTGTGGCGGCGGCGGCGAGGAGGGGGAGGGAGCCCAAGAGCTGGCTCCTGTGCCGGATCCTGCGTCCACGTGCAGCGCTGGGCGACCACAGCGGCGGCCGGCGGCGGCCGTGCCCGGCGGTGGCGGCGACGGGGAAGGGGAGGGAGCCCACAAGCTAGCTCCTGCGCCGGATCCTGCGTCCACGGCGGTGGCAGTGCCCGGCAGCGGTGGCGAGGATGGGGAGGGAGCCCGCGAGCTGCCTCCATCGCCGGATCTAGCAGGGACGGCGGGGGTGGGGAGGGTAGCGGAGGTGGAGGGGAGGAGGAGGAGGAGGAGGAGGAGGAGGGGAGGAGGGAAGGGGCGGCGGCGGCAGTGAGGAAGGGGCCGCCAGGGTTCCGCCCGTTGGAGTCCCTTGGCTCGAATTTTATTTGTGCTATCATGTAAAGGGAAAATGACTTTCCTAGCTTGGCGTGATTATCTCTCAAACTGCTCAAACTCTTTGGATTGATTTTCTCTCTTCCCCATGTACTTCCACCTTAGTTTGTCAGGGGTTATTCTTGCTATAAGCTTTCAGCTCTTTCGTTCAATGAAGTAAGTAGGTGGAAATTTGCTCCCCTGAATTGACCCAAAAAAATCCTGGCGCACTCAATCCAACTTATTGGATAGGAGAGGGAAGGAGTGGCCGGGGGTAGGAATGTTGGGTAGAAAGACAGGATTTGAACATGTAAAGTTGTTGCCCCTCCCTTAGCTTTCCTTTTTCCAAACTGCACTTTCCTTTTTCAAAACTGCACTAACAGACACTTTAATTTATTTAACCAGTAATTGAACGACCCATAGTTGAATTTCATTTCACTAACATATACACTTTTGACCGGACTTGCACCGGTACCGATCCTTGATGGAGTGAATGGTGCTCTCGGCCAGTTAAAAATTCCCCAAAAGCACAAGCACTCTGCATGCTTACCCTTTTTTGTGTATGTATTTATGAAACTCTTGCGTACTTCATGAGCGCATTACATAATGCTATCAAGCAGGGAAATCACTCGCTGCACTCACTCAAATCCTTCAGCAGCGATGCTGCTCCTCCAGCTGCTTTTGCTGCTCTCCGCCACCGCAACCAACAGTGCAACCGCTTCCTCATCCAGCCACGATGGTGACGAGGGAGCCCTTCTCGCTTTCAAGGCAAAGATCTCCAGCCACTCCGGCGTGCTGGACTCGTGGAACCAGAGCACCAGCTACTGCAGCTGGGAGGGTGTCACCTGCGGCAAGCAACACCGGTGGAGGGTGGTAAGCCTGAACCTCAGTTCCAAGGGGCTCGCCGGCACCATCTCCCCTGCCATCGGCAACCTCACCTTCATGCGCTTACTCGACCTGAGCTACAACAGCCTTCACGACGAGATCCCTGCCAGCATCGGCTCCCTCATGCGCCTCCGTCGCCTTCACCTGGTCCAAAACACGCTCACTGGTGTCATCCCAAGTAACATCAGCCGCTGCATCAGCCTCCGTGAGATTATCATCCAAAACAACAAAGGCCTGCAGGGAAGTATCCCAGCCGAGATTGGCAACCTGCCGGCGCTCTCGTTTCTAGGGTTGGACAACAACAGCATTAGCGGAACCATCCAGTCGTCTCTTGGCAATCTTTCCCGGTTGGCCGTCTTGTCCTTGTCAGACAACTATCTTGAGGGATTGATCCTTGCAGGCATCGGGAACAATCCGTATCTTGGTTTCCTCCAGCTCTCCGACAATGATCTCTCCGGTGTGCTTCCTCCTTCCCTGTATAACCTATCATCTCTTTATTACTTTTATGCGGCTCTCAACAAGCTCCATGGTTGTCTACCATCTGACCTGGGGGACAGCCTTCCCAGCATCCAACAGCTTGGGATTGGAGGAAACAGATTTACCGGAGCTCTTCCGTTGTCGCTAACCAACCTCTCCAGGCTCCAGCTTCTTGACTTGGGAAAATAATAATTTTACTGGAGTAGTTCCTGCTGAATTGGGCAAATTGCAACAACTTGAAGTGTTTGCTCTGGATGAGAACATGTTAGAGGCAAACAACGAGGAAGAGTGGGAATTTATTGATTCTTTGGTGAATTGTAGCAGATTACAGGGACTGGACATTGGATTCAACAGATTTTCAGGGAAGCTGCCAACTCCGTTGGTTAATCTGTCTATTAATCTCCGGTGGCTGCAGATTTCCAACAACAACATATCCGGTGTCATCCCATCAGATATTGGAAATTTGGTAGGTCTTGAGGAGCTTGATTTTAGCATAAACTTACTCACTGGGGTCATTCCTGAAAGCATCGGGAAGCTTACGCGATTGCAGCAGCTAGCCTTTGCTTCAAACTACCTGTCAGGACATCTACCATCCTCCATCGGAAACCTTTCTAGCCTACTTCAAGTTTATGCAGGCGACAACAGCTTTGAGGGGCCAATTCCACCAAGCTTTGGAAACTTGAGAAAACTTTTACTCCTAGGTCTACCAAATAACAGCCTTACTGGATTGATTCCTAGCGAAATTATGGAGCTGCCATCAATCTCAATGTTTCTTGATCTATCTAACAACATGCTGGAGGGACCACTTCCATTAGAAGTCGGTAGTTTGGTATATCTCAGACAGCTCTTCCTATCGGGAAACAATTTCTCAGGTGAGATACCTGATACTATTGGCAACTGCAGGGTCATGGAATTCCTCTTAATGGATGGCAATTCATTCCAAGGAAGCATACCTGCTACGTTTAAGAACATGACTGGCTTGACGGTACTTAATTTGACGGACAACAAACTGAATGGAAGCATCCCTGGCAACTTCGCTACCCTTACCAACCTACAGGAGTTGTATCTTGGCCACAACAATTTATCTGGAACAATCCCAGACCTTTTAGGTAATTCAACATCACTGCTTCGCCTAGATCTGTCCTACAACAATTTGCAAGGTGAAATACCAAAAGGAGGAGTTTTAAAAAATTTGACTCGACTATCAATTATTGGTAATAATGCATTATGCGGGGGGATTCCACAGCTCCATCTGCCAAAATGCGCAAGCTTTTGTGCAAGAAAGAATAGAAAAGACATACCCAAGTTTCTTAGAATAACAATCCCAACAATAGGAAGTCTCATTTTACTTTTTCTAGTTTGGGCTGGATTTCACCATAGAAAGTCCAAGACAGTACCGAAGAAAGATTTGCCACCACAATTTGCAGAGATAGAGCTTCCAATAGTTCTGTACAATGATATACTGAAAGGAACAAATGAATTTTCAGAAGCAAATATGCTTGGAAAGGGAAGATATGGTAGAGTATACAAGGGCACACTAGAAAATCAAGCCATTGTCGTCACTGTTAAGGTGTTTAATGTCCAGCAATCAGGGTCCTACAAAAGCTTCCAGGCTAAATGTGAGGCACTAAGAAGAGTGAGGCACCGATGCCTTCTAAAGATCATTACATGTTGTTCTAGCATCAACCACCAGGGTCAAGACTTCAGAGCACTGGTCTTTGAGTTCATGGCTAATGGTAGCTTAGATGGATGGATCCACCCAAATTTGGATGGCCAAAATGGACATAGAGCACTCAGTTTGTCACAGAGGATGGACATCGCTGTGGACATTGTGGATGCTTTGGACTATCTTCACAACGGTTGCCAGCCATTGATCATCCATTGCGATCTCAAGCCGAGTAACATTCTTCTCAATCAGGAAATGAGAGCTTGTGTTGGAGATTTTGGCATTGCTAGAGTTCTAGATGAAACAACAAGCACACAACACATCAACTCCAGTAGCACCATAGGAATAAGAGGTTCCATTGGATACATTGCTCCAGGTAACTCAATTTTCTTTGTTTCATGCTTCAAATGATAGCATCTATCCCTATTAGCTCATCAATATGTGCTGCTGCATGGGTTAGTAATTGTTAAAAAAATGTGACAGAAATTCATGGATAATTGGGTTAGAGTAGACCTCAACAAAATTTCTTATCTTTGCTCTTTACGATTTGCTCATATGTTTGTCTTTAGTTTGAATCTTAGCTTCCGCTATGTGTTGGACATAGATACTGGCATATTCAATGCTTCCCTCAAACATGTACCCATCGTCTACATAGTGATAGATGTCATGTGTTTATACCATAATAAGTAGATAACATGGAAAATATATACGATTACTTTTGAGATAATTTAAAAAAAACATATGTATGCTATTAGATTCAGACTCGGGATTACTTTAGAATGTTTATAATAACAGTACAAGTGGGTAACTCAGAAGCAAATTTTAATTAATGGTTACCATATGTTATTTTTCACAATGGCATAATGGATAATTTAGATGAAGATGAGGGCTTATTTTAAGTTAGTTTTCACAGTGTCATATGTTGGTAATTTAAATGTACAAGATAGAAAAGGCCATTTAAGAATGCTTTTATAATGGCAGAGGTGTGTAATTTTTTAGAAAGCACAATATACCAAATGCATATTATCACCATTGATAACTATAGTACACCGAATTGATGGCCGATGCCTTTTATTTTTGTGAGAACATCTCAGATTTATTTTTAGTTATGGCTTGTCTTGTGAGCATTGTGTGGAGGCTCCAATAGGATTATCCAATTACTAATAGTAAGATGCACATCAAGTAGTCTTTTAGTTTTATCCATATATACCTATGTATCCTCATATTTCATTCCACTGCAGAATATGGAGAAGGGCTTGCGGTGTCAACTTCTGGAGATGTGTTTAGTCTTGGCATCACTTTGATCGAGATGTTCATAGGGAAGAGCCCGACAGATGATATATTTAGATATGGGATAAGCTTGCATTATTATGCCGAGGCAGCTCTTCCTGACAAGATTATGGAGATAGCAGATTCCAACATCTCGCTGCATGATGGAGTAAACAATAGCAATGATACAAGACATATAACAAGAACTAGGGAATGTTTGTTGGCCGTCATTCAGCTTGGTGTCCTTTGTTCAAAGCAATTGCCCACGGAGTGATTGTCAATGAATGATGCTGCTGCAGAGATGCATGCTATCAGAGATAAATATATTTTTACTCAATAATAAAGTGGTGTTAGTTGATATTAATCACCACTACCTTATACTATCATGTTTGTCTAAATGTATTGTTGAAGTCTTTGCTTATCTTTTTCCAGTAGTAATATCTCATTTTATTAATATATCTACCTAGGAAGCAACCCCTCCTCTGTTATGTAAAAAAGTATACATATTTAATTATTTTAGAGGTGAGCTGTAATATATTTTATCAATTTTGCTGTGTTGTCTTATATCATATATAGGCTGATAGGCATCATCATTGATTAGAAAATGTTGGTGATCTCAAAAGATAATGGGTTAGTTGGAATCATGCTAGTATAAATGTCACGATGCCATTACACTATTTGTCTAACTTGTCATTACATTTTGCTATAACCAAGCCATACCACTTTATACATATTTCACAATGTTGATCCCACATAAGTCAATCGTATTTCTGTATTGCCTAGAATCCCCTTTATTCCCCTCCTGCGATGCCTCCAGCTTGCTTAATGCCCCAACCCATTAATGTGGGCTCAATGATGGTGGGCCTTCCATGGTTTGTGGAGAGGAACACAAAGTCCATTTGAAAGTCCCAGCTTAGTTTTGGTAATTGACTGTCAACCTTAGGTAGACTAATGTGTTTCATGTGAGATGAATAGGTACATAGTCCACAGGTACACTAGGTTGAGCAAGATATAGAACCATGGTGAAGAGGTGGCTTGGTCATGTGATGATAGTGCTCTAGTGAAGGTTGGAGGAGACATACATGAGACCTACATGACATAGAGTCATATGGCTAGGTGGAGAAGATCAAGAGGCGAGGCTTGGCTACGAAGGACCAGGTTGCGAGTGTAAAGGGCAAGCTAGAGGCTCAAGTGCGATGTAGAGGGCTTTGTGTCGGTGGACCGAGGAAACAACAAAGAGAAAGCGAGGCTAAGAAATATGTTGCATTTAAAATCGAGTGGCGTACGTGGTGAGATGAGTTTGACAACCCTTTGAAAAATGCTAATTAAGGTCTTGTTTGGCATGGCTCCAAATGGCTCTGGCTCATTATACAGTGCGTAAATGAAAGGACTGGTTGATGGCTAGAGGGGGATGATAGCCTAATTGAAAATTTTAAAAGGCGTATACTAACAAAACTTTTTAGATAATAAGATGGCTGTGACGGAGTGTTCCCAGGCATGCTGTCACGGGGTTGGAACCGCAGGCAAGCATTGTTGTTCGTGGTAGTGTCAGAGTGTGTGTCTTTGGTGGCTCAGGTGGACTCAAGAACACAAGAATCACAGAGGGGACACAACGGTTTATCTTGGTTCGGGCCAATCGATGTCCTACATCCAACAGCTGGTGGCCCGAGTGACCGTGGTCTTGTCCTCGTGTGCTGCTAGCGCCGATGCTTTCCCTGCGCCGAGGCTCACCAAGTCCTTGTCCTGCTGTCCTTCCCTAGCAAATGGAAGGATCCCAGTGACATGGGTCACTCGGGGTCCTTCAATTTTATCGGTGGAAGGGGTCCTTCCATTTTATCAGTGGAAGAGCCAACGGTCCGGGGACTCGCTGGGTCTTCACGCCAGCGAGCTTGGCCGGGAGTCGGTGGCTTGGGGTGAAGGTCGGCCGGCGTAGAGGTGCCTCCGACCTCAGTGCATTCCCGAACACTAGTGGGGCAAGGGACCGGCCTGGCCTTCACTGTGCCTATCTGTGTGCCACGGAAGCTCGGTTGGCGGTCTTGACCGAGTGACCGCGGCTCTCGCCGCCATGGTGATGGCGTTGTAGAGGTTTTTGCCATCGTATATTGTAACTAGGTCATTCCCAATTAATAAATGAAATTACTTTCCTATGTAATCTGATTGCTCACAAGTCATGCTCGGAGACTTTGGTCCCTAGTTGGGATGGGCTATTATGACAATGGCCTCGGAGGCCAAGATTGCCACGCCCGTGCTACTAGCAGGTGAGCCCTTGAGAACCCTAGGTTTACGGTCATTTTGCCCTGGTCATGTCTCCTAGAGGGGAGATCCTCGGCTTCACGACTGAGCCATTCGTATAGGTCTTGAGCCCGTCTTTTGGTGCTTGGGGGCTTGCTACCTCCCTCGGTGGGTCACCACGAGCGGCTCATGGTCAATACTCGGACATCGTTCGATGGGTGGCAGATTTTTCTTCTGAGTGCCTGGCTAAGGCCTCTGGTGCCCGCCCATGAATGTCCCTCGCACTTTTGGGTGCCTTGGGCGGCCTTGAAACCTTGTGGGCAAGCCTTGAGAGCCTCGGCGTTGCCCCTTTTAGAGGCCCCCCATACTGTCATGCGGCTAGGATACGTAATCCATCGAAGGATCGGGAGACAGAGACATAGCTGCAAATGAAACGAAATGGACATAAGAGAGGGGAACGATGACATAGATGGTAACGTGATGGTCGGGGCCATCCTGTTAGTGCTCACTGATCTCTAGCCCAGTCCCCTTTTCATCTAGCTTGTTCCATCCGTCCCGACCTTGATCGCCCAGGGGCCTTTAGTCGCAGCCATCCTTCAAAAAAGGGCAACAATTGATAAGTTAGCTGTCGCTCGGGAAAAGGGAAACATTAATGAGATAGGGAGAGCAGAATGGTTAGGAGAACAAGACTTATCTTTGTTTTTGTTGTTGGAGAGGCGGGCGTGTCTTGGCTCGGGAGGCTGGCGTCACGGTGTCAGAACCGCGGCAAGCATTGTTGTTCGAGTCGATGTTAGAGTATGTGTCTCTGGTGGCTCAGGTGGACTCAAGAACACAAGAATCACAGAGGGGACACAACGATTTATCCTGGTTCAGGCCGATCGGTGCCCTAGTCCAGCAGCTGATGATCCTTATACTCAATAGCACCCAAAATTGAGGGGTTACAATAGAGTATAGAGAGATTTGGTAGGTGTCAGAGATATGGGCTCGGGGTACCCTCATCGACCATATATCTGGCCCATCAATAGAGGACAACCAAGGAGGAAGCCTATGAGGACTAGGCGCAACTACCAACTTGGAGATCACGACATATCAAGGATATCCATTGCCATCTCAGCTATGGTAGGATATAATTGATTTGTTGTAACAAACTCAGAATCCAATCTGTAGCGCCAATCACCTTCGCTGTAACCCTACTCCTTAGCCTATATAAGGAGGGGTAAGGACTCCACGATCGTCACATCCACCACAACACCATCACCTCATTTCAATCTACCTCATAGATAGGAGTAACAACCCCTATAATTGAGCATACGAATACAAGAGCTGCCGCACCACTGGAGTAGGGTTTAGCGCGCACCGCGCCTCGAACCAGTATAAATCTCTATGTCTCATGTGCTACCTTCTAATTTCATCTACGCGATCATGTTGCTAGATATTGCCGGAGCAAAATAATCCGACAGTTGGCACGCTAGGTAGGGGCCTTTCGTGTTCAGATTAATATCATGTTTCAAATGGGAATCATCAGCAACATCGACGATGCCACGGAGAGGATGCAGCCGGGTGAGAAGATCTCCTTCGGCAGCCTTGACTTCATCACCGACCAGTTTGGGGACTTGCATCTGCAAGAACTCGAACTACCCATGGAGGAGGAGGAGGAGCAGCCTCTCCCGATCTGTTCATTCTTCGCCGGATTGGAGGAAGATGTGGATGTTGGGCCCTGTGCTCTCGCCCAACATCTCAACTGCTATGGACGTGGCATCTTCACCAAGCTTGGCTGAGAGAGTGATCCCATGTCCACCCTCCAACTCTGGGCAGATCCAAACTAGACCCCCCGATCGGATCTACAATTGCCACCCGATCACTTTCTTTTAGGCTTTCTGACTGGGTTAAGGAAAGTGGTGGCAATTTACTCTAACTGGCTTTAACAAGCCTTGGCGGAGCCTGCCAAACCTCACATCGAGGATCATCCCATCTGCGGTTCTCATTCTCCTGAATGTTTCGACAACTTGGTCACCCAGTTCATCGGGATGATCGCCAATGGCGACGAAGATATGGCCAACACACCGGAAGATTGGGAACATGCAGAGGATGATGAGCCTATCCTAGATTTCAATCTCAATGAGTATGATTAGTTCCTCCTTGATAACCTAGAGCTAGGGGAGGAAGTACCCAAAGATGAAGGCACTGAGTCCAAAGTGCAACCCAAGTGTTATATGAATCTACAAGACCCCAAGCCACCTCAGGAAGCACTCGAGAAGCTCATGCTCAAAAGCGCTACTCCATCATTAGGAGACGTTACCATTTTAGATGCCCCATATGAGACTAGTGATGAAGCGCGCTTGCGCCTCCTTTGTCAAAATGATGATCTCGAAGCGGAGAACAATCATCTTCGCCAAAAGCTCAACTAGTCTCCTGACACTCAGCAGATTCAAGTTGAGCACACTCACCCTGCGGGTGGCCAAAATTTGGCTAATCGTCCCTATGGGACCACCAGGCTCCTTCAATAGGCTCCCTAGATCGAGCTAATGATGCACCCGACAACTCGGAAATCGTGGTTCAATCGGGATACTCCCGAAGCACATCACGGGCCTGTTCCATGTGATCACCGACAACGCCTTCCAGGGACCAAGGGCTGACCAATGGGAGGACCTAGAGCATATCGCCCCCTAACCCGATCTATGGTTGACCAGGGAATAGGCAAGATGCTCGCTTGTTGATCAACGCACGAAAACAGGAGCACGATACTCACGGCCCTGCCCAGCGTTCAACAGCTCCCGAGAAACAAGCTAAGTCGCTAATTAGACCCAAGTATACCATCCTAAGAACGGCCTCAATCCCTCGCAAGAGACAAGCTTATCGAGATATGTTCGAAAGGATCATGAATAGCCCATGTTAGAATCATGGCTTCGTTATTACCCACCTTACCAAAGATTGCCTCGCTTACCACAAGCGTGTCGTTTTGGAGGCCAAAAGGTGAACATATCAAGAAGGGTACTTGGGAGACCATGACGATGATCATGGCCCTGATGCGACTGCTAGAAG